GTCCGTTATCTATTACCAAGAAATTCCACTGGGCCCAGTACGTCTTTACGTTCGGCGAATATCTGCAAACTTCTTCCCATGTTGGTCTTTGGCCTGGGGTTTTCCAGTTAATTACTAAACCTAATTCTGGGTCACTGGTTTGGTCATTTGCAAGATCTTCGGGTTGCCAACTATCATTAACCACAGTTGTTCTTAGGAGTTTCACTTCTTTCTCTTCTGCTCGGGAACAATGCTTACAGTCCTTAGCGCAAGGTCTTCTGTAAAGTGCGTCGGCATTTCGATGGATTGCTCCAGCTCGATGTTCTGTGTCGAAGTCAAATTCTTGTAATCGTTCAATCTAGCTATCTGCCCTTCAGGATTCTTAAACTGCAACAGCCATTTCAAAGCAGCATGGTCTGTTCTTAACAAGAACTTTCTTCCATAGAGATACTTGTAGAAGTGTTCCACTGCTTTAACTACTGCTAGTAATTCTCGTCTGGTTACACAGTAGTTCCTTTCCAGTTTTCACAAGGTCTTACTAAAATATCCAATGACTTTTTCTTGACCATCCTGGATCTGAGACAGAATAGCGCCTAACGCAACATTGCTAGCGTCGATATCCAATATAAAGTTTCCGTTGCCAAGAGGGTAGCTAAGTATGGGCGCACTAGTCAGGTCCTTCTTCAATTTTCGGAATGCCTCGTCAGAATCTGAGTCCCAAGAGAAACGCCTCTCGCCTTCGGTAAGTCTGGTCAATGGTTTTGCGATGGTGGCGAAACCCTGTACATAGCGGCGATAATATGTGCATAGTCCCAAAAAGCTTCGTAGTTCATGTTTATCTTTAGGTATTGGCCACTCTTCCACTGTCTTGGTCTTCTGTAGATCTACCGCAACTCCTTGGGAGGAGACTACATGTCCCAAGTTTCAAACCAGAGCTCCCTAGTCGCTTGAAAACTTCTTCCAAATTCTTCAGATGATCGTCAAAGGATTTCCCAACCACTATGATGTCATCCAGGTACACTAAACAGGTAGTCCAGGATAGACCCTTTAACACAGACTCCATTAGTCTCTCAAAGGTAGCTGGCGCGTTGCACAATCCAAAAGGCATGACGGTAAATTGCCACAGTCCGGTGCCCACCGAGAACGCTGTCTTCTCTCTGTCTTTCGGCGCCATGTCGACTTGCCAATATCCACTCTTCAATCTAAGGTAGAGAATATAGTCGATCCCGCCAGCCTGTCTAGAGTATCGTCTATCCTCGGCAGGGGATAGCTATCCTTCTTGGTAACATTATTAAGTTGCCGATAATCAACACAGAACCTGGTGGTACCGTCTTTCTTCTTTACTAGTACTACCGGCGATGTCCACGGGCTGTTAGATGGTTCGATGACACCCTCTTCTTTCATTTCTCGAAGGATTTTGTCAGCTTCTTCACGTTTGGCGAGCGGCAGTCTACTCGGATTTTGTTTGATTGGTCGTGCATCTCCGGTGTCAATTTTATGTTGTACTAAATTGGTACGACCTCTATGTCCTGCTTCTCCTTTATCAAACACATCTTGATACTTGATTATCAGGTTTCTCAATTTTCTACTATCTTCGGGAAATAATCCCTTAACGTTTACTAACTCCTTAACCATTTTGTCCGGAATTTTTGAAATCGAAACTTTGGAGGCTTCCACGCTTCGAATGACTGAGGAGGCCGAACAACAGTACCCTAACAGGGTTCCCTTCTTCAAGGATACAGAATGATAATTCGTGTTCATTACTCTTACCGGTACAGACTTCTTCGCTCGTAGCAGGGGTTTTCCAACAGCGACCCCTCGTCCTATTTCGCTGTCATGGTTCCTTGGCTCCAACAGAATAATACTCCCATTATTCGTTTTACCTTCCAGGCGACCATCCAAAAATATCTCACAGCGCTCAGGGATCGAAACATCTTCTGCTACTACCACGCGAAGCGTCTCCTCACATTTTCGATGTAGAACCACTTCTTCTTCATTTATTTTCAAAATTTCTTGTTTGAGGTTTAGTTCAAAACCTCTAGTGGTCACGATGTCCATTCCGAGAATAAGTTCATCTTCGATGTCTGCTACTAACACTCGATGATTAAAACAGGTGCTTCCGATAACAAAATTAAGATCTACCTCTCCATGGATGAGAGCGCAGCTTCCTGTAGCTGTACGTAGTCGCCATTGTGTTGTTTTAATCCTTTTTGATGTTTTAAGGATATCCGGCCTGATGATCGTTTTGGTCGCACCCGTATCCAACAGCATGGTCCGTAACTCTCCATCCACGAAACTAGCCACAAAAATGCTGTTGAACTTGTGTTGTAGCGATGCGACTTGAACAGTTTTCGTTGGAACCTGTTGGGTACTGCTCCATATGTGTCCCTTTGATTCGACACTTGGCGAAACCGAGTCCACGTCTTTTTCTTGACAGTGACTTCTTACGTGTCCTGCCTGGCCGCAATTCCAGCAACAAGTCGGTCCTTTCTTGCCCATGTACTCCTCCATGACTTTCCGTACAATGCTTTCCACGGATTTGTCGGAACATTGGTTGACCGCCCGTACTCTCACTAGAGACCGAGAACTGTTTCGCGGCCTCAAATTCTAGGGCACGTGCTAAAGCATCCACCAAGCGCGTTGGGTGGGCTAGAAGAAGCGCTTGCCTTGTCTCCCTGTCACGTAAGCCATCGGAGAATGTCTGTACTGCCAACCGCTCCATAACATTCTCGGGCGTAGCAGGATACGCAAGGCGAACCAGGCGGGCTACGTCGGCTTCAAACTCCTGCAGAGACTCATTTGACTTTTGAATGCGATTTTTTAGCTGTGAATGATAGACATGTTCCAAATGAGCTTGGCCGTACCTCATTTCTAAATGTCGTACCAATTGCTGATAATCTCCCTGTTCCGATGGTGACAGTGTCTGCAGGATATCAGTCGCATCTCCTCGCAGTGCGACAGTCAAAGCGGTAGCCTTTTCAGCGATTGTCCATCCGTTCGCTCTCGCAGCGGCCTTGACAAACTGGCAAAATAATTGAAAGCGGTTTTCCGTCAAACTGTGGAGGCTTAATAACTAACTTTGAGATATACTTATTTTCGACTAGTTTCAGTTGCCTCCGATGTTTCTTGACATTTTGGTGAATTGGCCTTTTCTATTTCTTGTTTTAAAATTTCGATTTTTCTATTTACATCTTCCTCTCAATCTCTGTTATTTTATTGTTAAAACTTTCTTCCAAAATTACTATTTTATTATTAAAGCTGAAAGCCTGTATATCTTTAGAATTTTCGATGATCTTATCTTCTAATGTATTGAGGATTAAATCCTGGGAATTTTCCATAATTTTATCACTTTGATTTTCTCTTCTAAATTAAATTCAAGTCAATTATTATTTTACTATTCAAATTGTTCAAGTTGTCGTCTAATTTTTTGTAGGCACGAGTCAAAGGTCACCTTCCAACTCAAAACCAAAATGTGTCAGGATCCTCACCTTCCTCCCACCAAAACGTCTCTTAGTCTAGCTTGCAAAATGCTTTTCTTTCCATCTGTTTCGCATTCCCTCTCTTCCAGAACGCTTTTTAATTCCGACACTTTCAAGTCTTTCAACAATTTTTTTTGGAGCCATTGTCTGTCTTTTTATTTTACTAGTCTATCACACACACCACACTTGACACTGAATTGTTACGTTTTTCGTCGGTCCGTGTGGATAGAAAGTCACAATTTATTTAAACACTATTTATTTAACACTAATTAACAAAAATAATAACGATAAAAGACTTATAGAACTATTTACAAACGATTTATAACTAAGAAGTTATTTTGAATTTTAGCGCGTCAACTGTATATTTATAACTGCCCCCTGTAGGCCACCGCCGCCGGCTTTTATACCGACAGGTAAAGAACTCTAGAATTGTCCATAGATCGTTAGGTGCGTAGACAAGGTTTTCGAATGTTCTCGTATGTACTCGTCCATTCCAGTGGGACTCGATTCTTCTCGAACGAATGAATCATTGCGGTGTCTATGCGATGTTAAGGTCATACGAGGGCGGGCCATATTGTGAGGTTAGGTCGAGTCCACACGGGCCCGCAACATTACTCAATATAAAAATAAATTACAACCTTCTTAAGACCAACTGGCAGTAAGCGCCATTAAAAAATAAAGAGTATGGCCCAAGGTAATGACACCTATGGCTTGACCTTGCCAAAATTATCATCGATTGACATTCCTCAGCCATCTTTGACGCCGTTTTTTTCATACGGCACTTCTTCAACAAAACATTACAATATGCCTCTCTTTTGTGACTGGTATGGCAATGTGGGTCCTTTTCTCCGCAAGAGAGTGGAATATACAGGGTTTCCCAGAAATAAGTGCAAATATTTTAATTGGTAGTATAGTTCAACCCCAGAAACACGCCTATGAGGTTCTTTTCGCGAAAAAAAAATTTTGAAAATTCAAAATTTTTTGGAATTTTTTTTAGTTTTTAGTTAAAAAACATAATTTAAATTTTGATAATATGGCAACATAGGTGTTAGATTAAATTTACAAGAAAGAAAATCCAGAAAAGATCCAGTGGTTCTCAAAATTTTAGCAAAAAATCATTTCTTTTTTGGAAATTTTCAAAATAAAATAACTCCGTTATTTTGGACATATTTGAAAAACGATAAAGAGAAAATATGTTTCTTTTATCGAGATCTACCACCCCTTAAAATACTTGCACTTATTTTTGGGACACCCTGTATAATGACACTCAGTCGACAAAAAATTTGGAAGAATATGAATATCCATGCAATGGATATAATACAATGACACTCAGTCGACAAAAAATTTGCAGTATTAATTTGCTATAATTTCGTTTTCCTATAAACCTTACCAAACTGTATTTCTAAATAATACTGAAGAATATGAATATTTATGCAAAAAAAAATTGAAATTATGCACCAATAAATACGTTTTTCTGAATAAAATTTAAAAGTTTATAATCATATCAATTCTCAAATAATTAAATTAACAACCTATACGTACACTCAATACAGCAGCATGAAGCGGATGTCTACCTTTATCATCAGGATTTGGCCAGTTTTTGTCAGCCCCCAAAGCAAGTGCCTCGCACATAATGGGAATATTATGTGCTGCTGAAGCTTTATACAATAAGAGATTTGGATGTAACTTTGAAATGTCTTCTTCATCTAAACAAAATCAAATATAATAAATACAGAACCATTCTTTGCTTTTTAACAATGTAATTAAATTTGGTAACTTACCAACTATCTCATTTTCTTCTCCTTCTGTGCTTTCTTGGTCACTGCTTAAATCGATATTACTTATGCGTTGCTTTTCCAGACCACTTCCGAATAATAAAAGGTCATTTTGGGTTTCTGCTAAACTCTTATGAACAGCAGTATTATCACGAATTTTACCTTGGTCGTCATTGGTATTTACGTTCGTTGCAGAGTCTACAGGTTCACCCGACTCGTTAGCTATCTGTTGTTTTTCAACAATCTAAAAAAAATCAGGTCTTTTTTAAGTTTTCTATTTATTATCGACATGATAATTTGTAAGTTTGTACTAAAAACTGACAAATTTTTAACAGTTTAAAATTTATATCCCAGTTGCTGAAAAAATATACTCTGTTTTACGACTCAGGGAATTTCGTCATACAATGACAGAAAAGAAGCAGATGACGTCCATATCAATCCATTTATTTCATTGAAAAAAGCTCCAAATATTTTTTAAGTTAACTATGGATGGGTTTATATATAAATCCGTCATGGCGTCGTCGCATTGTTGTTTTTAATCTTATTGGTTTAAAACGACAATTTTGTAATAAAAAATGTGAAGTTGCCAAATTGATTTATTTATTTCCTGAAATTGTCATTCGTTTTGACACTTCAGTTTTGGTTTAAACCTTTGAATAAGAAGACTAAGGAAGGAGCATATCAAAAATCTTAGGTACACCGCGATGGGCCTCAAATATGGCCGACTTAAATTCCCGTTTATCAGTGTCGTTCTAATTTTATTAAAAAAATGTAAAACTATGATGTAGGGTAGACGTGGGGTAGACTCAATAATTTGTTGTTTTATTTTACGTTGTGAATAAATGTTGGTAGTTATTAAAATTGTTATAAAAATATATAATTCTAATAATAATAGATAAGTTATAAGTATTTATTAACACAAACATCCCATACGCTACTGAAGCAGGTAAGTCAAATTAACGTATCTAAATTCTTTGACAAGTAATAAATAAAAGCAAAATGCAAGAAAAATATATAATTTAGTTAATTTAAGTGAATTTCATAAATGATCGGTTTTACTACACGTATGTATATTATATAGTCACTTACTAGCGAAAAGTTGTTCGATTATTTTCCTCAATTTTGCAGAGATCTACCGCACGCTACACAACCCAACTATTTTAGAGTCTTTTTCGATAAATCGCGATAGTGTCACTGTTAATTTAAGTTCTGCCACAATTTCCATCTAGATTTACTACCTTTATACAGCTATCAGTAGTAGAATAAATAATAAATTACATAAAATAAGCTCCGTAAAGACTGACAAATCCACAAAATTTCAAATCAAATTCAAATGTGTCAAATGAATCGTCAAATAGAACTGTCAAGGATCCCCACCCTAGAGTGCTTTTATGGCGCTTTTTCCGCCCACCATGCATGAATACATGGATAGCATTATGCTCCTTCCTTAGTCTTCTTATTCAAAGGTTTAAACGAATTGTATTTAACTTTTGACATTTTCGCATATAGTTTACTTGAAATTGTAACATGCGGTTCATAACGACAATATGACTCGAAATATCAAGTGTGTGGTACCAAATTATTCGTAAAAAAATGTTTTTTTCCAAATATGCTAACGAGCCACTCTTGTTCCATTTAAAAAAAATGAGATATGATTAAATGAGATACGATTTGGGCATCTTTTAACTGGCCAGGACAAGACACGAAAAACATTAAACAATCAAAACTATTTCTCCGAGGCTCTTTGATTAAAAATTAGTGTTTTTAACACAACCATGGCACTCTAGATTGAAATTTAAAATACGATTTGTTTTTAATCGGAAATGTCAAAAGTTGACATATGATTGCCATTCTATTTAGAGTGTCATTTTCTATGGAATAAAGTAGAAATATACCAAGGGTGCATTTAAAAATGAAAAGTTGTAGTCATTTCCGGTGAAACAGGAAGGGACCAACAATAATTAAATACGTCGGTCAATCCTAATTTATGTCTTATACTAACTCGTTTCTGAAAAAACTAACGCATGCATACAGTAGCCATAAATCGAATAGCTATTAATATTTAATTTACCAAACGCATTCGTAATTAATAGGAACACAACGGTAGCCGTCTAGTCGTCATAGCACAACTTTCCAAGCTGAGTTATATGCTATTGAAACCTGTGTACTGTTCAATTTGCGAAGTTTGAAACTTTCGTCATTATTTTCGGCGCCATATTGGTTTTCACGTATTTCTTGACTTGGTCCATGAGTTGTTTATATCTCTGGTTGTAAACTAACAATAACAAATTTAATAACAAAATATTAAACAATGACAAATTTATTGTAGCCTACCCGCAGTGTATACAATGAATAAATACGTCCTCTATTAATATGTTCATGGATCTTATAAGCAGGAATTCCAGGGGACAAACGAATATTGTGACATTGTGACTTGTTTTGCTGATTTTTGTTCTTTATCTTTCACGATTCCTCTGGAACTTATTTTTTGCACAGTCGAGAATGAAATTCCTAAAGCCTCCGATGCTCTCTATAAAACAGGTGAATATTTTCGATTTAGTTACAAAATATTAACTCGGTAGTTGTCCAATTACATCGTAAACAGCCGACACAGGTAAAAGGTTTTTTTCCACCATCTTTTTCGAGTTTCAAATACTCGATAACTTTTAATATGAGCCCTTGTTCTTTTTCACTAAAACGGGACGGCATTTTAAACACAAATTAAATCACAAATAACCAAATAAACACAGAAAATCCCACAAAAATTTACGGGAAACTATCGGAGTCGTTAAAATTTAACGACAACGTTGACAGTCGGCGATATTCTTTTGTTCGATTTCGGCGGGTAACACAATAAATATGACGTTTGCCTTTTTCTATTCATGCACATTAGACAAGGAAGTACGATTCTTTATACGTAATGAAGGTGATCCGTATACAAAACGAAAAAAATAATCTTATGATGTAAGAAATATAATGGACTTACGTTTTTGACACAAAATTTCCATTTCATGTGATAAACATGGATAAGAGAGAGAATGACAATATGTGACGAAAGACTCAAACTTCGCAAATTGAACAGTACATCAGCTGGTAGAACGGCAATACACCGGGAAAACAATAAGCAAATTTTCGGATAGTCAAGCCGTGTTGAAAGCGCTTGAGGCAACGAAAAGCAAGGCTATGACTGTTCTTCATTGTAGAAAACTACTCAATTTATTAGGAGCTAGGAACAAAGTATCGCTAATATGGATACCGGGACGCGTATTTACTAAATCTAATATCACAGATCATAATCTTTCAGATCATAACGTTTTTTCTTTATTGTTTTTCGTGGTTCCAATTTTCGGAATCGGGCACTAGTTAGGTGACTAGTTTGCGCACATAGCACGCCCACTTATGGTCTCTAAAATTGTGCACAGCGCCTGACCGGCACAGTTATTCGAGAGATATCGGAAATCCGAATAGCGTCATCCAGTATTTACGCGTACCTTATCATGGTTACGATATGCGCGAGTCAATTTTTAACGCAACACCCGCTAATAACGTTACCGCCTAACGTAATTTGCGGATCAATTACACCAAGCGCTCTTTCTAAATAACCTCTGATAACGTTTAAAAATTGCTTAAATGGGCATGTGCGGGTATTTGACAACGGAGCCGGCCGGCGAGATCTTTTATTTTAGGTTATGTTTGAATTGTTTTGAATTATTGCTTTAGTTTTATTAGGTAATTTGATATTTAAGTTGCTGGGATTAGTTTTAATTAAATAAATATGGCCCAAAATATGGATTCCACCTCTTCCAATACTAAAGAACCTATAAAGAGTCTTAGGTTTACAGCAGATGACGACTTAGCCCTTATAAGAGAAATTGTTGCTTGTTGCCCTAAACCCACTGGCAGACGTTGAACAATAAAGCACTGGAAATAAGCACTTTAGCCCTTTAGTTTTAAAATACCTAGTAAACAAAACATTTTCAAAGTTTTAAATTCAAAGTTAGGTTAAGTTTAAATAGCGGACGCGACGCGATCAGAATTCTTTCCGATCCAATAACTATAAATGAAGAGAGTTAATACCACCTCACGTAAAGGAAATAACACCTGGCTAAATATTAACGTCCATGCACGCTATTCGGTTTAGCGATATCTCTCTATTACGCTGTTTATTGTTATTTTACGCGAGTTTATTTTTGCGCACAGGAAATTTGACTCGTTTGCACATCGTCATAAAAAACAATTTTCGTACCACGAATTAGGGACAAGATTTTTACCTGTATACTTATAAGATACCTAATCTGTGCTAATATAGTGCAACGCAAGTAATGCCCCCGTTTAATTTTATTGGTCAATTTAAAATCTAATCCATCACAACGTATCGTTTTAAAATCTAATTGAATACAACGCAGCCACAAACGCCTTACGAGACGCTTGAAAAAAAAATTAGGCTTCTAAATACACACGGTTATAACGCAACCTAGGAAACTCTAATTCGTTGCAGCGCAACCTCTGTTTATTTTCCTTTAAATAAGGTTTGTTAAGGGTTTTCAACCCCAAGAGGTTTTAATTGATGTGGCCAATAATAATAATACAGGTAAGTTGTTTTAAATATTTGTAAAATGATTCGCTAATCTTTTTTTTCTATCGAAAGTATTAATGAAGAACATAAAACAGCGGTGGCTGAATTAAAATCAGAGTTGAGTAGAATCTCCAATTTAGCGGAAACTCAAACATGCAATATTGACCTTATCAAGAAATTTACCAATGCATTGAAAAAATTAACACTGGTAACCAATTAGAATCGTTTTTTGCAATCAACAGACCGACAATGAGACAAGGAGGGATGCAACCAACCAACTGCCCGTGTCAGAAGAAATGCTTCCATTGGATCTAGGCGTGGTGTGCTAAAAGGGTTCAAAGTGGCAGACCAGCAAAGAGTCAAAACATTCCCTAGCGCTAAATATCATGTCCAATATAGTTATTGCTAAAATTCATTAATGCAGTTTTTTTATGTATTGTAATACTTAATCTTGCAATAAAGTTCCTTTGTTTATCTTAATTAATAAAGCTAGCAGGTATCATTTATTAGTGTACGTATATCAGTCGTCCGAAATAAAAAGCGATGCACGTCATCAATGGCACCATGCGTTAACTTATGGAGTTTACTGGTGGTCGTATTGTGACGTGCAAGGATTTTCGATGACCATTGTAACCACCTTATTATTATTGTGTTCATACGCTTTTATACAGGCGGCGCCAAAAAATGTGCTGCAATGAATTAGGTTTTGTCAACAAAATAACAACAATACTCATTACTCGCCGACACTAATAATTGGAGGTTATGTTGTAATATTCTTGTTTTGATTAGATTAATGGCCTTATTTAAAGGAAAATAAACAGAGGTTGCGCTGCAACGAATTAGAGTTTCCTAATTTGGCGTTATAACCGTGTGTATTTAGGAGCCTAATGTCAAAAGGCTCGTAAGACGTTTGTGGCTGCGTTGTATTCAATTAGATTTTAAAACGATACGTTGTGACGGATTAGATTTTAAATTGACCAATAAAATTGAACGGGGGCGTTACTTGCGCTGCACTATATTAGGTTTAGTAAATACGCTACCGGGGCATGTCGGCCTAGAGGAAAACGAACGTACTGACTCGGTCGCCAAAACAGGTGCAGTTAGCGCCCTGCCTTACCCCCGGTGTTTTCAGGTATAGATAGCGCGTTATAATCCGCCATATATATTTTATTTGATGGATAGCAGAAAAAAGTGTGTCTTCACCTATAGATACCAATATCTATTAGATAAAATAACCTTATCCGTCAGATATCCTATTTGGGACCTGAACTGCCAAATATAGCTTTATTTGTTGGATAAATATTTGACAGAAGATTTTGATCTAATTTAATAATAAGTACTTACACATACTTTTTTTCTTGTTTTAATTTCTTATAAATCGCATTCCATCAACAGATCTATTCCACAACTACTATTGAAACTGATTCCCTTTTTCCATAAAGGTAAAATTAATTAACGTATACCATAATAGAACTAGTCAGAGTTGAACACAAAATATATTTTAGTTGAATTTTATTGTTTTTATTTTCATTTTGACGATCTTTTGACAACTGAATAATAACCTCACTTTTTAATCTAACGATTTGAAATTCCCAGTTTTTGTCTCTGTCTGTTGCATAGACTTTTCATATATAACCATCTCAATTTCAGATATCTTATATTGGCAACACTTTCTCTACGGTGTGTCTAACGGTCCGTAGGCGGCCCGTCCTCCAAATTGTTATCTTTTGGACTATTTTGTATGAAAATGAACACAATGTTACCCAGATAAATCGGGCTCATTATAATAATAAAATTATGATTAGGTAGGTAGGTAATAAGTATTGTGTTAAGATGGGTTAATACAGTATTTAAAATAAAACTCTCTATGCATTTGTTTAATATCTATTTATTTCTCCTTATTAACAATTTATTTTTATTTGTTCCGCCTTTAAAATTCGTATTTATGTGATATATTCATATTATGCGATGGTCAGAATTCAACTAAACCCTGACCTGCCCTGATTAAACCGGTAACGCCGCTACATTGAAAGGTGTTACCCGCTCATAAAGGAATTTTTAGGTTAGCCATCGTTTCGCGCGCATTTTGAGAGTCAACCTTCTGGTTGATTTCTATTTTGTGATGAAACTATGAAGCACGTTATGTGTACCTGCTCCGCTGAACAGGTTTGAGGTGTTTGGAACAGGTTTGAGGTGTTTGGCAAAATTACGCTAGACATGAGACCCATAAGACTTATCACCCTCGGATATGACAGCCTATGTTTAAAGGCTGGGTCTTTAATACTTTTTTTAAAGAGATTGTAGAGCTGATCCAGCCACCGCGGCCGCAGTGGAGTGTCCCCACCTGGGACCCACTCTTAGTAAATACAATAATAGTCGCCATGGCGAGGTTACTTATCGCGCTACTTATTTTATTAAACTAATATCACATCTATGTTGGGTTGAATACCCTTACCTTTCCTTTCTTCTCCCTGGAATTTACGCTTCTAGGTCTTCGCCGAATTTTCCTAACACTCCATTTTCGAACTTCCATCAAACCATCTGAGGAATTAGGAGAACTTTGATCAGCACTAAATCGTGGAAATCGTTTAACGTACTTTTTCTCTACATACTTTGTTCTTATCCATTCTTCCCTTATAGTACTGTATAAATCAAAAAAATAAGATATCAGAAGAATCAATATTGTAAGTTTATAAAAAATCTAACCCGGGACAATCTCTAGAAGCTTTAACAACTCCTTCAGGTACGCTGGCTTCATAAATTTGCTTCGAAATATTATTACCTAATTCAGCCATAACTTTTATAATTTCTGGTTCCCAATCGTCTAGGGTCAGTGACCTAACTTTACTATAATGAACTCCTAAACTACGATGAACCCCTGAACATTCTAAAATATTATTTTTATAAAAATTAAAATAAATCTTGAATGTATTTTATACATACCAATACACAAAGTTATTCCTAAATTAATACTAGCCCAACTAGGATTAGGGCAACCGCAATCACAGCAAAAGTTATTTCCAGGAATTTTTAATAATTGCTCCCACATTCTAAAACATTTGAGTAAACTACATACTGAGTTGTCTCAGTCATATTTTAGTGTAAAGATAAATTGTTTCTTTCTATCAATTTTTGGGCGTACCAGTGACGGCTTGACGGCTCGTGACCCGTGTGACTGGGGAGGTGACAAAATTTTAGTTGCGTCTATTAATCTATAATTTACATAATACCCTAGTCCAGTTTGTAAATATATGTTATCTCTGGGTTAAAAACATAGCTCAAAAATATTTAGGACAAAACTAAAGCAAAAATAACAGCATTCAACGTAATGGCATAATGTACAAGTATAGTTTTTATTAATCTATTTTATCTATTATTTCTTTTATCTATTACTATGGAGTAGAGTCACTATGGAGTACATCATAGAATTTTATTTTATTTTTATTTATTTACGCACACTTAAAAATTGGTAGTATTGAGAGAAAGAATAATTATGTTTTATATATTAAATTTAGTCGGTCTCTTAATACCTCGGATGCAAAATTACAAGCTCAGGATTTCTGGAAGAAGAAGTAAGGAAACAAGCCAATAAAGCTGCCGCAATATCAGGACATCTTAAATATCCCATATGGAAAAACAAACATTTGAGTACAGAATGTAAGTCAAGAATATACAAAACCTGCATACGACCAGTGATGACATATGGTGCGAAACCAGAGCTGAAACATCAATAACAAAGAGAATCCTACGAACTACTGAAATGAAGACCTTAAGAATGATAACTGGATACACATTGAGGGACAGACAGAGAAATGTAGACATAAGAGAAAAGTGCCCAACAAACGACGTTGTCAGATGGATAAGGCAGAGAAGAAGAGAATGGAACCAGCATGTCAATAGAATGGGCCCCGACAGAATGGTCATAATAATTCGCAACAACGTACCCCATGGCAGAAGACCTACTGGACGACCACCTAAACGTTGGCAAGACAGTTGGCAGTCAACCTCGCAAGAGTTGCTTCGACGAGGAGGAAACCGGAACTAAACAGGCGATACGCCTTCTAAAAGAAGAAGAAGAAGGTCTCTTAATAAAGAAAAGTTATTTATTATTATATCAGTAAAATTATCAGATTGTTGAAGAGCTATGAAAAGATCTTTTTAGATTGAAAGTAAGGCACGTGGCGATAAACGTTTATTTTTCATGGAATCTCTACTATAAATTTTAATGCATTTCAAACATGAAAAATGTCTCTCAACCCAAGTACTTGTAAATGGTGTAGTAACAAACAAAACAAACAATTTGAAAGCCTCTGGAAATATATTTCCAGAATTATTCTCCTTAAATTATTTTATGCTAGAAATTATCATATCTATTATTAATACCTGCAATTTATTCATTAATTTATGTTGGTCAATAACATTTTTTGTTTGTTAAATCACTATTAAATGCGTTGGAAGTTGGAAATGTATCAATATAACAAGTTTGTTAAAACAGATATTAAATGCATTGGAAACTTTTTATAGGATTCCTTAAATTTCGGATCCGCAAGAGATAAATAAAAATATTTGAGACATACGAGTACCTATCTGCAAACCCTATTTCTAAATGTATAACAATGTTATCTAATATTTCATAAAATAAAATTCGCAAAGATATTTGACTTAGCCGCTTTTATTAACATATCGAATTGAAATAGCAGAGAGCCTTATCTGTAATATCTGTTGTATCGTCTTCTTGCACCGGATATAATAACGCGCTTTTTTATTTCGGATTCTTTTATTTCTGTGGCGTGTTCTGAAATACAACCGGTTATATCATTTGTAATAATTTCGAACAAGCCCGAAAAATGTTCCCAATTTGCTTTAAACGCTTCTCAATTTCCATATAAAAGTTTTAAATGCTACGTATAATGTGTGTGTGAATCATATGAAATATCCCCTTAATGAAATGTGATATATCTCCTTATGAAATATCCGGAATATCCCCTTAACATCTAAGCTTACCGAGCCTCCACGACTTCATGCGAAGGCGACCGGAGATTTCGCCTAAGCCTCGCCTTAATATGATACAACTCTGACTTACGTCGCGTCGCTACCGCACGATGAGTTAGATAGAAACAGAAGACTGCCGTATGTAGTGCATCGCCTCTGATAGTAGGCGATGTAGAAATTGCCGAACAAAGGCACTCCAACGGTCAAAATTATTTTGTTTTCTAATGCAGCGGCACAGTCATCGGTCAGCGTACGCCAGCGGTAGTGAATATGTTAATATACAAGACCACAAATATTAAAATAATATTGATTATTCAAACACACTTCCGTGTATTAACAGTATTTTTATCTATTGGCAACATTAATAGTTAATAATGTAATGTAATAAATCGCTTAAATTCTGCCAAAATCTTAGGGTAGGCGCCGCCTACCTTGCCTACTCTGACGAGCAGCCACTGGGGCGTACTACTTGAGAGCTACTAATTTAGGAAACTTACCGAATTTTCTTAATTTTATTATTGTTATTATTTGCTGAAGTGTCATTATCAGATCCATAAAAACTACTGTTACGATTCTCGCGTTTTTTGTGGCTTTCTATTTCGCTACTTCGAATTCGTTGTATAGCGGCCCCGATTCCTTTCTGAAGAGCTTCAATCCATGCGTCGTACATTTCTTTAGAGTCCGCTTGCAAAATATGGCTTCTAAAAATTAATATGTAAAAAATAACCCATCAGACTACAGTTAAATTTATGAGAAAAGAACTAATTATTATTGTTGATATATCAATGGTCCAAATCTAGCTGCAGCAATGAAACAGTTGGACGGTTTTAAATTATCGATGTAACATTTGGAAATGCCATATAGAATAATAATTGTATCAACACACTGAGTCTTTTTTCTCATATTATATTTTTCAGTTACGATATCTTCATTATCTTACAAGTTAAAATTCAGACCACAGATTTAGGATGACCAAGTGTGTAAAAGTTTATATTAATATTTTTGTAAAACTGTACTTTTAAATAAATTAAGAACACAAAATATTTTATAAATGATAAATGATTCAACACATATATTTATACTGCATTTATAAAGGGAATCTATTTATACTTACTTAGAAGGAGAAACAATTTCAAAACAAAATCTTCTTTCTCCATCAATAACAGGTTTAACAGTACAAATTCTTAGATCGTCTTCCATAACTGTTTCTTGTTCCTCCCCTGACCTTTTCCTAATTAAATAATAAAAAACTGAACTTAAAGGTAATAAATAAGACTTACAGTCTACATACTATTGCAAAAAGTTCAATGCTAGTATTTAATTAAGGTGAACCACAGAAAAATAATGTAATATCTCTTTTATTATTCCAGGTTTTTTAAGAATATATATGTATCACACTTTTCCTAGATTGATAAAAATTAGTAATTTTTATCAAAATTAAAGCGTTTTAATAGTTTCAATCACTAGAGTACTACCACTAATTTTAACATTCTAAATGCTTATATTGAAGTTAGAAGAACAAATTTCTATGCTAATTGAAAACACTAATTTTGAGCTTCTGAATGAAGCATAACTTCAAGAGCCCTCTGTTGTTAATTGAGATTTGCAGTGTCAGATAATATATGGAAGAAATATTTGAGAATTTGAAGTAAATAATGTTCTAAGTGCCAAAATTATTATTTGTGATAAACGGATGTAAACGTTTTGAAATTCTTGATAGGAAATCCGGCAATACCGTATGGAATGAATATATTCGCTCACTTTTTTTCTCTTTTTAACATGTTTCGTTTTTTTAGGGTTCCGTACCTAAAGGGTAAAAACGGGAACCCTATTACTAAGACTTCGCTGTCCGTCCGTCCGTCTGTCACAAAGGTCTATCTTATGAACCGTTATAGCTAGACAGTTGAAATTTTTACAGATAATGTATCTATGTTGCCGCTATAAGAACAAATACTAAAAACTGAATTAAATAAATGTTTATAAATAAAAAAGTACTTTCACTAAACATTATCATTATTATTAAGAATTTTACAGAGAATCTTTCAAGTCCTCAGTGGCCGCGTGGTTTAAAGCGTTACGCTGCTATGACGTGTGAGCCGTAGTAAGGCAGGTTCGAATCCTAGTCAAGGCGACTTTTTTTAATATATAATATCTTGTATAGATAATAAATGGTACGGAACCCTTCGTGCGCGAGTCCGACTCGCACTTGACCAATTTTTTTTTGCTTAACTAAAGGTGTTGTCGTGTTAAGTTGCATAAATGTAATTGAATTGGTTTCTCTCTAAAAATACCTACAGAAATAGCTAAACATATACAGTAGTAGACCGTATGGCGCATCGGAATACGGGACATAAAAAATCCCCTGTAAATTTTGAAAAGGTAAAATATTATCGCTCAAGAAGTCGTTCGGCAAAAGATCCTGGGATCTTTTCCTACTGTAACCCCAACAGACGGGAGTCAATGTTTCTTCTATTATTATTACTATCTATCGGCTCTGGTGCATAATAGGTCCCCAAGCATTTAATACTTTTTTGGGATTTTTTTCAAGATTATCTTAAATTGAACATTTTTAAGCATAAAAATTGTTGGATGAATGTGTTTTATCTTTCAAAAGCGGCAAAAAAAACGTATTTTAGGTACAGGCGACGGACAGTAAATATGTAAAATTTTCTACACGGATTCAGTAAAAACATCACATATTAGCATATTACATACGTGGAATGATCTAATTTAAGCACAAAAATGTAACGAATCTTCTTTGTAAGCATAAAAATTAAGAAAATATATTTATTTACATCATCTTAAGCCAGCAATTTTATGACTTTTTCGATTGACAGTTAATCGATCATCGGTATGTCATCTATGGCCTTCGCATAGTATTTGCGACGTTGTCAATAAAATTATTTTATATGATTTTCTTCTAAAATAAAGTTGACGTTGTGGAGGGACTTAAAACGGTAAGTTATCACTTTAGTGCAACAAAAATTGAACGCTGTCTAGTAGCTTATTGGTTAGTGTGGATTATTTTAAAGCAATTTCTGAAATAAAATTTGCGGGTTTTTCAGGTTCTACGAAAATATAAGTTTTTTAAATATATACTATTTTTCGACGCGTAATCAATGAAGTTTTGTCATTAGGCACAATTAGGTTAGCCTGATTATTTGGAGGGTGGTAATGCATTGGTTAGCCTGGTTATTTGGAGGGTGTTAATGCATTGGTTAGCCTGGTCATTTGGGGGAGGTGTTAATGCATTGGTTAGGTTAGGTCAGATTGTGGGTTAGGTTAGATCAATAGAGTAATCAAAACACGCGTAAGCGTGTTTTGATTGTTCTTGTTTCACTTTGTTTTTTTCCTTTTTCTCTTTTTTAATACGAATTTGATTTAGGTTCTTGTGACGAATATGTATGCAGTCTCCCTTTATGGGAAGTTGCGAAAATCTTAATTATTTTATACAAAATTACTCTATTTGGTACCTACAAATTTTTGGAAACAAAATGTGACATCGAATTTGAGAATGACACAATCACATTTTTGCTGGTATTTTAATTGTAGCTTTCTCTGGGCCGCACTGTGGTTAATTTTGTCAAATTAGCCGGAAAAAAATATTAGTGAAAATTACTTAACTTTGATTACTAGCTATATCCGATTTTATATGTTAGGTATCATAAAATTACATTAAAAATATAATTAATAAGAACAAGTCGTATACAGGGTGTATAATAATTAAAAACTTGGAAAAGTTTCGTTATTTTTTATTTTAAATAGATTTTGGTCGCGATCATTTGCATATGTTAGAGATTTACAAATTATCATATTATAGGAATAATACTATGGATCTTACAGATTTTGCTAACAGTTGCTTTTAAAAAGTCAACAACCTCCAAGCCAAGGATATATAGAATAAGGATATTCGACTGGCCCAAAAAAAACGTGCCGTATTTTGTCGAGGAAGTCGATTTCGTCACGACCAATGGGCGTCGAGTATTTGAAATTGAAAACATATAAATTGACGGTAACCTATGTTTTTTGACTCATTTCACTGACAAATGTGATGAGATTGTTATTGTAATTTATAGATCCAAACGTTTTTTGAAAAAATAATGTATTTTAAAGTTATTTCCTAGAGTTTGGTTTGGCCTTCTATATTCTGGTATTTGTCTACTAATAAATAATATCTTATTTTGTATTTCGATGTATGGAAATCCGCAAGTTTTGTATCTGAAGCCGCAAAGAAATTTCGCTCTATAGTGAGAAAAATGTTATATCTTTTAGACGCGTAGAATAAATTAAAAAAATCTTATTTCAGATGTTCTAAATGTGAGTGCTTAATGTCAAAAATTAAAATATATACTTGAAATATTGGTTGAAATATTTCAAAGTTATACCCTTTGCCTTTGGAAGTAAACAAATATTGAAGAAAGTGTTGTGCCTTCACAGAATTTAAATTGGCATTAGGAATAGATTTCCTTGATTTAGTAATGATATTGCTCATAGAAATTGATAATATACTATTTTATATTCACTCGTTCAAGTGCTGATCTATTTTTAAATTGAATATTTATGTAAGTATTATGTATAACACAATATAAATAATTTAAGGACATAAGAAATTAAAATTTCCAATATATGATTATTTTTCCAGTTTTGTTGACCTTCAAATATATTGAAATTAATATGGAAACAAAAGTTCATAAATATTATTCTTAATTTGTACAAGAATTGAGATTTGGGGATAAGTTTGAAAAGCCATGTCAGAAGAGTATGATTAAAGACAAAGTATGAAGGTAACATATATTTGCATAAAGTTTTTAATAACACTGACAATTTTATTTGTTTATGTTTATTAATTAAAATTTAGTTGCAATTTATTTCATATTCTAATATTTTTGAGAAAATTTTACTTATATACCTGAATATTATGCTGCTTTTTATTTTAAAGTGTGCTGACTGTGCTGTTATTTTTATACTAGTAATATTGTATACTGTAGGTATCGTATTCATATATAGTTATATATATATATATATATATGTATATATATATATATATATATATATATATATATATATATATATATATATATATATATATATATATATATATATATATATATATATATATATATATATATATATATATATATATATATATATATCAGTAGTATAGATACTTACTTTCTTTCTATGCGTACTTATATCCTTTATAGTCTTTCTAAGTGCATATAATACTACTTTTTTAAGAGAAGGCAGTTTTTAATAATCTATTGTTAATTCCCCTAATTCTGTGTCCCCTGGTTCTGCTATACAACAATTATATATTTTTTTATCATTACTGATTTTAAAAGTTTCTTTTCAAAGAATTTTTTTTTCAGAGTAATTGGGCTGTTCCTGAACAATATTGAATATAAATATTCAAAAATATGATTGATAACTGCATATCCTACTAAGTAGATGAATACCAAAATCCCATTAGAGAAATAAGTTAAAATTATGTTTTACTTGTATAATTTTCTTGCTATTTGTCCACCATTATTTGTGACTTAGAAATTAAATAGTCAAAAAGCATTTAGTACCAGTTTTTATTTCCCAAAAAAATTAATTGTTAAATAATTACATATTGCTTAAGATACAGTATATTATATTGTGTTTATAGTTGATAATTCTAGTTCTTAGTTGTTTATAGTTGATAATTAACAATATTTCTGATGTTAGATATTATATTAGATAAAAAAATTTAATTACCAATAGCTACCTACCTATGTAGCTGCAGATTATATATTGTGTAGTAGGTACTGTATAATTCTTTAGTTCAAGAAACAAATATCAGCACAAGTATATAACCAAAAAAAAAATGTTGATGCAATTTCTTTGTATAACATACGTACCCCTATGGTATTCAACTTTTCATTGTTCTTTTAATTAGATACACAATAAGCACATTAATTCGTTTATTAAACAACCAAAACTAACTACTTAAATTCACAATAAATGTATAAGCTTTGATCAATTCCTATTATTAATACCTGACGACTTCATATTTTATAACTACCATAAATATAAATCTGTTCTAAAAAAATACAAAAAAAGACATCGTTATTGCAATAATATAGAAATATATTCCATGTATCATTAACTACCTATAAATACAATACCCACATCTTCTTTTACGCGAATAGTGCGTTAGGAGGCAGAAATATTGCCTGCATTGTACATCGTACAAATTGGCTAGAATTTATTAATATCCATTGCAAACATTTCTCTTTCAAAGGGTCTAAATGTGTTGTCTTTTACTGTGTCCCTGTAATATGTTATCAATTAACAACAGTTATCAAATATGACCTGGACAATAATAATTGTTTTACCTTTTTTTCAAACTAAACTCTTTAAACAAACTATATAAATAAAATTTATCTCATAACCTAACTTGCTGCTAGAATTTCTTTCTTGTTATTCTATGTTCCTGTATTGTTATTCTTCACATTATCAATTTCTATGAGCAATATCATTACTAAATCAAGGAAATCTATTCCTAATGCCAATTTAAATTCTGTGAAGGCACAACACTTTCTTCAATATTTGTTTACTTCCAAAAAATGTCAAAGCATATAACTTGAAATAATATTTCAAGTATATATTTAAATTTTTGACATGCACTCACATTTAGAACATCTGAAATAAGAAATGTTGTAATTCTACACGTCTAAAAAGATATAATAACATTTTTCTCACTATAGAGCGAAATTTCTTTGCTATAAAACTGAATGAAAATGATATAAAACTTGCGGATTTCCATACATCGAAATACAAAATAAGATATTATTTATTAGTAGACAAATACCAGAATATAGAAGGCCAAACCAAACTCTATGAAATAACTTTAAAATACATTATTTTTTCAAAAAACGTTTGGATCTATAAATTAAAATAATAACCTCATCACATCTGTCAGTGAAATGAGTGAAAAAACATAGGTTACCGTCAATTTATATGTTTTCAATTTCAAATACCCGACGCTCATTGGTCGTGACGAAATCGTCTTCCTCGACAAAATACGGCATATTTTCCAACATAGCCCGCTATAGGGAGTTGAATATCCTTCTTCTATATATCCTTACTCCAAGCATTTAATATGGGCAATACGTCCTAAAAATTGCCTGGACTTAATAGACGGACTAGGACGGTAAATTTGTAGGTTTGGTAAAGTTGTCTAATGGTTTAACTATCAACTTAACTTTATTTAAAACTGAAACCTCATAAGACTTTTTTCTGCTAGTTTATTAAAAAAATGTATATTCTAATAATTTAAAAAAAAATCTAACCATATCAAAATTATTTACTCATATTTAATACTCAACAGAAGAACATTAATGTCAAAAAAACTTACTAACAACAATTGCTCTTTCCATTTTAGATAGTATTAATGACATATAACTTTTTGCACGGAATACGCAAATTAAAAACTTTATTTATGTGCAAATAACAAGATTATTTAGTTTAATTTGTCAACTATATACTACACTTTCAATCGAAATAACAGTAAGTTCGCAACGACCTTTGACATATTTGTTCATGAAATGTTTTTAGCAACTATTTCAAAGCCTACTTATGGAGTTTTTGACGCCGCTTAGCCTTATCAGATTTTTTAATATTTTCCTGTTAATTTTTAAAAATTGACCACAGTGGGCCGTATTATAAATTTTACTAATTTGAAGGTAGATTTTTACCAATAACTTTAAATTACTATTCCAAATGAAACGAAATTCCAGACAAAAGTACAAACTTAACGCGTATTCAAAAAAGTCTAATACAACTTATGCATAAAATTATCTGGGGATATAATATTTCACCTTTTCAAAATTTACATGGGATTTACGGTCCCGTGTTCCGATACACCACACGGTATACTTAGCTAGTCTGGTTAGGTTAAGTTACAAATTAACAAAAAATTTAAACATTTTCAGTAAACCTATAACTAAACAATTTTGTGAGTTGTTCTAAAAAATATCTATAACTACTAATATAAGAAAAATGATACTTACATCATCAGCTAATGATTTAAAAAAAGGTTGAAGATCGTCACATAAATCCGACCCCTGATGATAATAAGTAGTACAGGCATGCATATATGATAGAAGCTGAAATAATAAACAAAAAATCATTAGCTTAATAAGTAATATAGTCTTTAAGTCGTTAAGTTTCATAACTATGTTATGTTGTTATATTTGTAGTGGAGTAGAAAATATATCATTGCAGAATGATTTAATGTGTTTGGAAATGTACAGTTATAAGTCAATGATTATCAAAGAAGGTAGTAGGTTAGAAGTAGGGAATTCAATCCCGGGATCCCGGGAAAATAATAACAGATCCCGGGATTTTATATAATATAGTAAAACGCTATTTTTAAGGTTGTATATGCAAAAACTTTCTTTTAGTTGAATTCCTTATAGCGCCGCCGCCGGGCGCCGCCGACAAGCGATACGTCGGTGATTCTTGGAATAATAAAAAACTTTTGAAACAAGAAGTAGCAAACCTCTTAAAACGACTATATATAACAAGTAAAATCATATTAGATTCTTCAGATAGTTCGGAATCGGATGAAGATTTGCCAATTGCTACTATTTAGAACAGGTACCAGGCCTTAAATGATGACCTGTCATTTTCGGAGAGGCTAGATGAAGCGTTAACCAAAAAAATGTCAAATCGAATGACAGTGCCACCAGTAACAAAAACTGATAACTTGGAAGCCCAAATAAAAAATGAAATGGATACGTTCCAGAAGAGTGGACAACGTGGAACAAACTTACAACTAGCTTTTGATTTTTTAAGTACAATACCGCCTACAAGTGTAGAATCGGAAAGGTGTTTTTCGTCAGCAGGCTTGATAGTTACAAAATTTCGTTCTACTATGGGACATGACACAATAGACAATATTATATTTTTGCGCTATTTTTTTAAAAATATGGAATAATATTATCAGTCCAGTTTCTTTTTTGTTTTGTTTGAGATTTTTAATTTTTGTTTAATGTTATTTAAGAAGAATATTTACTTATTTTTGTGTTCCGAAGACTTTGTTTTTGTTTTAACTAATTAACGTTAATTTTAATAAAATGTTATTTCAAAGTAACATTGGTAACATTATTACTGAAATCCCGGGATTGAATCCCCATCATTTCTTGAAATACTTCTCTAACTTTTTTCGATTCTGCATTATCGCATGCAGAATTAAACATCTCGGTTTTTACAGCTCCTGGGCAATAACTTAAGACAGTAAGACTCGGTTGTTCAATAGCTAAAATTTTGAAAAACTGTTGACGTGCTGCTTTGGACGATCCATACAAGGAAAAGTTTTCATATGGCACTATTCCACATCCAGAACTAATATTGATCACAATAGTTTTCTGAGTAACAGGACTTATTTTATGTAGGAAGGCGTTATTTAACAAAACAGTTGAGAACAGATTAAATTCATAGAAGTCTCGCCAGATTTGTAGGTCACTGAGTCCAGCTATTTCTTTGAGTGGTCCATTACTAGCAGCGTTATGAAAAATATACCCATATTCTGTACCAGTAGAATCAATAGTTTTTAAGACTCCATCAAACAGATCATTATAAAATTTAAAATTGGGTTTAGAGAGGTCTGTTACATACGTTAAAACTTTTAAGCCTTTGTCTATTTTTCCAATCTGGGTTTTAGTTTCTTCTAAACCCTCTGTAGATCTTGCCAGTAAAATAAAAACTGAATTTTTATTTACGTTTTTCGCTAGCATTGTTGAAATTTCACGTCCAATGCCTTTCACTGAATCTAATGTGGTTAGTTATCGCGTGTTATGTTAATAACTAATTAATTAAATTGTCGCGATTACTGATGTTCTCTAGTTATAAAAAAATGGACACCTTAACGATATCCTTATAATTCCATTTCAGATGCTCAGACACAGATCTAATGATTTTATCTCGTTATCTTTGCAAAAAAAAAGTCTCTTAAAAATAAGCGGTTTGCTATCGTCATTTTACTTTACTTGATGGGGAAAGTCGTACTGGAGAAATGTGGCAACATTGAGCAACGCCGCAACAGCACACGCACCCAAAAGTAAAAGTTGCCAGCATGGTATGTCGAGGAAAATTTAATTTTAATACTCAGATTAATAGTTATAGAGTGAGAAACCAAGGGTGGCGCCTCTCATACGCCGCCGCGGAGGCTCCAAGGAGAACGACAGTTTGTATTGAAATGAAATTTTGTGGGCATATGTAGGTTAATTCGGAGCACTTTTTAAAAATATAGAGAGTTCTACAGGGTGCCCCCAAAAAAAGTTACATATCAAAGTCGTGTTTTTTGTAATGGAACACCCTATACATTAATTGATTTTCGGATTCTGTGAAATGTAAGGTTTTTGAAATATTTAACATTTTTTAGAAATAAAAAACAATTTTTAAATTACAATAAAGGCTACCTAAATTGGATATAGCCTAATATGTAGTTAAATTAACTATTGCACTTTAGATCAAATTAAAACTTGATCCAAAAAGTCATACAGGGTAAGACAAAATTAATATTGAACATTGGTCACATTTAAAAGCATATTACTCTTTTATTTTAAATGGAACACCCAGTATATTATCCCGTTATTAAATGGAGAATTCATGTCTCTTCAAAACACTGTTAAAGTTGCCTACCCCTCAAACAAAGATTTTCTTAGATATTTTAATTTATATGATTTCATCTGAGTAGATCTTTATTATTTGATAAAATCTAGGTGGCTGTGATATGTCTGAGCTACTTCAACATAGCTTCTCTAATTCGTCCAACTTTAACAACTAGTTATCATTTTGTGTCAGTTACAACAACAAAATTTCTCAGAAATTTACCGAAAATGCAAACTCTACTCTCGATCTACATCAGAGAGAATTGACATGATTCTGTTAGTTGGTGAATGCAGTGTGCATTTACCAATTAATAGAATACTTAAATGCTCGTGATTTTATCTAGTCTGGTTGTTTATGGGGATATGTTAAAGACAGTGTTTACAAAACTCGACCAACTATTGTCGACAACATGAGAGAAATTATTGTTAGTGATGTAAACTTTAGTTACTTTTATGGACTCGTAACTACTATAGTCTGTCCAACGAGAAGATCCTTGACAGTGATAGATGTGTCTGTCATTTTAATTTCAAAGTAGTTTATTTTATTTTACAAAGAAATAAGTTGGTACAACTGGAACGCATAGCAGGATATATTTAAAATTTGATTGACAAGATGACAAGTGATTACTTCAAAATATTGTGAAAAAACTGTATAAAACTGAAAAATGTAATCGAGTTATTTTATTTAATAAAAACGGTATGTGTTAATACAAAACAAACAAGAACAAGGCACTACATACCAAAAAAATATAAAAAATAACTATTATTTACTTTCAAGCTTTATGAAACTACCCGCATTTATGATTATATTTATCAATATAACTTATGTACAAATACAAATTTGTAATATTCCACAGGTATAAATAAAACAACATAGGTAAATACAACAACTATTTTATTAATAATAACACCTACCAAATTTTATACCTTAAAGGTGGATTAATTACCTTTAATCTTAATTTTTTTAAACCAGTACCTTTTGACATTATTTTTCTGCACCAGTACTAAAATCCATTATTTACCTATCGTGTGATGTCGATATTTTACAGCTACTCCAGTTTTTAGTATGTGTTTAGTTTGATCCTTATATACGAAATGCACTTATCTACGACGAAATGGTATACAAACTTTATCGATGGCAACTTCATTGGTGTATAAGACTTTCTGCCTGGGCAGCGTGTATTAACCATAAACTGTGCTCTGGGCCTACAGTTAATTTTCACTCGATTTTTCCTCCACTTGACTTCAAAAGACACAAAACACACGTAATAATACGAATCAAAATGCATCATCTTTCAAAATGCAGGGTATTTAACAAAAGTTGACACAAAATTATAACCAATAATTTGGCAAGACTTTGACAAGCGTCAAAAATGACAAAAATCTAAAGGCGAGTTCATACGCATCGGCGTCCGTTTGTCGTTCATCGTTCCGTCAAACCAATAAAATTGAAATACGATCTGTCATTTTTTAAATAAACCAATAAAACTGGTTAAAAACAACAAGACACGACGCATGACGGATTTATATTTAAACCCATCCATAGATAACTTTAAAATTATTAGAAACTTTTTTTAGTAAAATAAATAGATTGGTATGGGACGTCATCTGCTTTTCTTCTGTCATCGTCTGTCGAAATCTTACGTGAGAAAAAAAACAGAGTATAGTTACTTTTGGTAATAGGACTCGTTACTTTGGACTCGTTACTTTAGTTACTCGTTACTTTGGTACTTAGTATCGTTACTTTATAATCGTTGTTTTGTGTACAGGTTGGAATACTTGGGCTTGACGTGGAACTTCAGGGTTTCTACTTTCTACTTTCTTCTAGTGTAAGGGCTTAATAGGATAATTTCAATACTCGGTATTGAAGTACTCAATAATATGTTTTCAATACTATGTATAATATTTTTATAATGATATGTTAAATAAAACTATGTACTATTAATAAAATTAAAAATAAAAGAAAACAAATCAAACAAAGAAAATATGTGTATAATAAACATTAAGTATTTTTATACTCTCTCTCTCTCTCTCTCTCTCTCTCTCTCTCTCTCTCTCTCTCTCTCTCTCTTTGTATTACATTAATAAATACGAAAACATTAAAGAATAAAAATTAAAAAAATGTATAATTTTTGTTAAAATGTAAAAATATTAAAAAAATGTATATTCCTCTGTGGCGGATTCATCACTTCAAAAAAGTCCTTTAGATTAACGCCCAGCAGTGTTTACTAAAAATTACTATTTTTATTTTGTAGATTTTCTTACAGTGTAAGTGGCGAAATTTCTATTCTCTTTTGAAGAAGAAAAATATTTGCTCTGCTTTTTCAGATGTTAACTTTTTTTGTGACTAACGTGAATCCATTTTTAATTAATATCTAAGACATGTTAATCTAAATAAACAATTCTATTCTATAAATAAAAAGCGACAACAAACGGCAAAGGGACAAACCGCCTCCGGGTCGGCATGTCAATCATAATAATTGTAATAAAAATATCACACATTTGCTATCCAAAACACCGGCCGGCGTCAAGTCAACACTTTAAACATAAACATATTCATAACAACTAGACCTACGTCGAAGCATAACGTCGAAGTAAGGAATATTTCAGTATCGAGTTTCGAGTCCTCGGTTCGTGCATTTCCAGGGATTACGATTACTGCCAGCGCAAAAGTAACGAATTAGCTTAGTAACGAGTAACGAGTCCTAAATTCAAATAGTAAGCGTTACTTCGAGTCCTCGTAAAGTAACTATTACTTTGTAACAATTACTCAGAATTTTTACATCACTAATTATTGTAGCTGCTTTTCGAGATAGAACTCCACATATGCCTTTTAAAATAGAAAGATCCTTTTGAAAAGACAATCATTTTATGCAGTTAACAGGAAAGGAAGCATTTTGAGCACTTCAAATCTAGCTAATTTTTGTTACATAATAATGTTTATATCTAGTTTTAATTGTGTAATAATTAAAATATGTTTTAAACGTGTATTTTTTTTATTACCCTTGGTATTTTACTCTACAATCTTTAATTAATGTTAAGTTAACAAAAGGTATATTACACAGCCACCCTAGATTTTTTCAAATAATAAAGATCTACTGACGCAAAATCATAAAAATTAAAATATATAAGAAAATCTTTGTCTGAGGGGTAGGCAACTTTAATAATATTTTGAAGATATATAAATTCCCCATTGAATATCGAAAAAATATACTGGGTGTTCCATTTAAAATAAATGAGTAACTTGCTTTTAAAACTGACTAATGCTCAATATTAATTTTATCTCACCCTATATAACTTTTCGGGTCAAATTTCAATTTGGTTAACATACAATGGTTACTGTAATTAAATATCAGGCTATACAAGTAGTCAACTAAAATTTAGGTAGCTATTATCGAAATTTAAAATTTGCTCTTCATTTTCACAAAATGTGAAATATGTCAAAATCCTTATATTTTAGATATATGCTTCTTTAATAAAACTCACCTTTATTTTTTCCTAGAATCTGAAAATCAATTAATATATAGGGGGTTCCATTAGAAAAAAACACAACTTTGACGGGTAATTTTTTTTGGGGACACCCTGTATAATTCTATATATTTTTATAAAATGCTTTCAGTTAACCTACATATGTTGCCAAATTTTTATTTCGATATAAACTACCGTTCTCCTTGGAGCTTCGGCGGGGTATGAGAGGCGCCACCCTGTACAGTTTATTTGGCATTTTTAGGCATATTGTTTTAGTAATTCACGCAGATAAAACACGTTTTTGAATAAATAAGTTCAATTAAGGAATTCGCGAAATCTATTGTGGCAGCACCGGCGAAGAATGCACCAAGCCTATAAGCTTTATAGTTGTAATAAAGTATTATCAATAAGCGTAACATCTCTTACAGTGGAACCTTACAGTGGAAAAATTCGAGAGATTTTTCCACTTTAGAACTCTGAATTCAAAAATCGATATCTCGAAATCCATTAGAAATAATTGATTGCAGTTTTTTTTTCAAAAACTTTTTGATCTCTTAGACAACGTGGAAAACCTTGAATATAATCCAAAGAATTTTCTAGTTTGCAATAGAAGTTAGGGAAAATATCTGTTAAGAGTATTTAAAAAGGGAAGAGCGCGATCAGCCAGTTTTAAAGTTTTTAAAAGTTTGAGGTTTGAATAAGTTTTGAATTGTCGATTGAATCGTATGTTTTAAGTTATGAACCCACGGACTCCGTAACAGCCTTAAAAAGATTAATAAAAAAGAAAACTCAATTCCCACATAAAACAAAATACCTAATTAAACTAGTTATTAAAATATGAATTTAAGTGTTTATTTAACTCAATATAACGATATTATTAAAATAAATATCAGAAAAACTTACGGTACTCAAAATTTCATGCCTTTTTTTAGTTTGCAACACACAAATACTGTTAACATAATCCAAAGTTTGATGCCCAAAACAAGATCTTACTGCAAGTAATATATGCTCGACTTCGTCAACCTCTTGCTGCTTACTTCTAGATGTATGAGAATTTCGTACCAACACGTTATCATATTCGGTAGATATTTTTTCGAAGTGCTGCTTGAAGTCTCTCACTGTTTTAATATCCCTAAAATAAAAATAAAATATTATATAAGAAAACATTCTTATTCTTCTGGACGGGCCTCTTGCACACGTTGGGTACAATATAACTATTTATGATTACTAACACATTTTTAGAAAAAAAAATAAAAAAGTAATTATGTAGTTACAAATACAAATATGACTTTTATATACAGAGTGATTCACGGTCATGGCACGTTAGATCTATATGGAGAACCGGTGATAAGATTTTTTTTGAAAATTTAGATTTTTGCATAAAGATACCTGCTCCATCTGTCTAAATTATTTGCAGCATTACAGTGTTGCCGCTTCATACTAAAAGTGGTAGGATCTTTGTTATTTTAAACATTTTTTCAAGTAATTCTTTCTTTATGAATCTATTTTGGGTATCTAAATAGCATAAGATTTTTACAAAAATATTCATTTGTAGTATTTAGAATACACCATATTATAGGTTATAGACATTTATCAAGCAATAACGTGATAACACCGGGGGTTGTAATACAATAATTAAATGTATGGCAATCGCTTCTTTGATTTTAAAGAACATAACATATGTTATGTTTATTTATAACATACGTAAAATTTAAAAATAATCATACAGAAAGTTTGAGGCTTTTTGGTTTTACCTTATTAAGTAATTGTTATCAGGTAGTAATTGTTAATTTTGAAGTTTAACTTGATATAATGTCATTTTAACAGAACGTCAACGGTTTCTTGTAGACGCAGGGGCCGGAAAGTGAAATAGCAAAAGCGGTTCTACCGTTTCCACGGCAATTTCAAATAAAATAGTTCCAGCCTCGGGCGCTAGGTGGTAGTGCAATTAATTTTTAGGTTAAGAAATTGCTACTAGTTATTGCCAGATGGCGTTCAATCAGATTTTTTTTGTAGTTTCCATAGTTTCCAACGGCCATTGTCATACTATTGTCAAATTCTCAAAAAATATTGTTGTTGTCATAGCGCCAATCATCAAAAATGGTTATCAAAACGTTTTTCAAACTAATTTGTTATATGTGTTTTTATTAGACAATTCCTTTTGTTTGTGGCCCTAAAAATATAGTAAGTCTTTTATTTTTGTCATCATTTAAGTACCTATTTATATTTACTCCATTTACAAAACTTTGGGCGTATTACGGTGGTTTTGTTTTATTATAATAAACGATGTTTAAATATTTGACTTATAAATAGAAACTTTAAATAATAAATAATATTTACACGTTTGGCTTTACTTTTATTTAATAATTGTATAAATTATACTGTTAAATCCTATTTTTTACACATCACAACGATACTTGTTATTAGTATTGTTGAATTTGTGTAAAAAATAAGATTTAATGATCAAATTTAATTATTTTAGAGCAAAATTCAATAAATACGGTCATTTAAAAAGCCCGCGCTTCGATCCATTTAAAACAAGCCCTACTCAATAGATGACGCCACTTCTGTAGGACCATTTTTCAGTATGGCAGAGTCCATTCTTTTTCTTCTGTTTTAAAAAAAACTAAAGTGTTCTCATAATAGTTTGAATTTAAATGTTTTAAATAGTTTTTTTCTTTATTCTTTGATTTTTTTTTGCTTCCGACGACGGAAAGAGATATACTTTCCGAAACGTTAAGCATTTTTTTCTTTGTTAGGCAAATTTGTATAACTGTAAACATAACTTCTGACAAGCAGTGTCTGTTTACAGTACGTCTGCTGGATCTGTGTCTATAAAAGGAATGCGGACAACAAATATTTAAATAAACAACAATATATTTTATACGTCGACTTGACGAGTACGTCACCACAAATCGCTCCGCCCACTCATTTTATTGGCTACTTGCAAATTTGTCGAATTTTTATTGATGGGAAGTGTCGTCTAATTTTTTACGAAAAACATCGAGAGAATATTGTTTCCCCTCTCACCGATACCACGTAGCTACAGAACGGACATACGTACTGTAGGTTTAACGCAGAAGTGTTTACAAAAAATAACTATTTTATTTTATAGATTTTCTTGCAGTGCAGTGGCGAAATACCCATAAAGGATTTTTTTTGGAGAGATGAATCCGCCACATAGGTATAGACATTTTTTAATAATTAAATATCAAACTACAAAGGAAAAGAAAAAAGTAAAATAGAGGGTGAGTTTTCTACGATGTTTTCTATGGGTATCTCGAAAACTACTGGAGATAGAGAGTCGGTTAAATGGGGAAAGAATTGTAGTTTTGCGGGGTCATAAATATGCACCTTTCAGATTTTTGAAAAAATTCATGGCTTACTAGATATTTCGAAAAAAATATATTTCGGCTATTTTAAAAATTGTCCCTAATTCCATTATAATCTATTTTAGACAAAAAGTTTTCAGATAAAAGTTGTAGATAATCACATCCTTAATGAGATTGTGTCCCCCGTTTTTTTATAAAGCCTGTCATTTCTGACATATGACACAAACATATTTTTTTTTAATGGAAACTATAGTTGGCCATGACTTCATAAAAAGCGCAATTTTTTAAGCTTTTCGGCGATATAAGCTATATGTTTTGTTCGAAAAATTACCGAGTTATACCCAATCATTTTTAAACAATTTCACTTAGTTAGCCATGGAAACAAGTTCAATTGTCGTTGCTCTCAGAAATGTGAATCTGTCACATCCACACTTTGTAAATTAAAATAAATAAATATTGTAAATATGATTTTTTCAAATGAAGAAAAGCGTGTAGAATTAGTGGTTCAACTTTTCTTGGCCATGCATTTTCGAGGACACATTGACCGGTGAACGTTACTTACGTTTTTTAGAGAACAGTTTTCAAGACATGTTAGAAAAGCTAAATTTAGATACTCACGTATCAATAGGGTGAGTATCATTGTGACCTCCCCCCTCTCCATAATGAAAGAAATGTTAAAAATTATTTTAACCTTATATCATATAATTATGCAAACTCACGGATAGGAAGAGGTGGGCCAATTACATGGGATGGGACACACATTAGGGATGTGATCATCTACAACTTTTATCTGAAAACTTTTCGTCTAAAGTAGATTATAATTGAATTAGGGACAATTTTTAAAATAGTCAAAATTTATTTTTTCCAAATATCTAGTAAGCCGTGAACTTTTTCAAAAATCTGAAAGGCGCATATTTATGACCCCACAAAACTGCAATTCTTTCCCAATTTAACCGACTTTCTATCTTCAGTAGTTTCCGAGATACCCATAGAGAACATCGTAGGAAACTCACCCTGTATATATCAGTTAATTACGACTCTTACAGCGCTTTCACATGGAGCGGACCGTCCGCGACGCAGCGTCGGTGACTTCGAGCAAGTACCATGAGTTTATATGAACAATTTCACATGGGTCACGTATGCTCCGTCCGGATGAGCTATCTTGAAAAAACATCCGCGCGGACGCTCCACGCGCACCGTCCGCTCCATCTGAACGTGCTGTTATGGGCTATAGAAATATAAGGATATTAAAATACGCAACCAACCGTCATACAACCGTCCAATCAAATGAAAGGAGCAATCGTCGTAGATCGTGCGGTATCGCTGAAACTCGGTCCCGGAAAAAAAGCGGGAGAATTGATATTACAACCATAATTGACACTTGCAATTTTGCGCTTTTTGCATCTAACTGCAGCATTTTATATGCTTGTGTTTGAGAATTATTTATTTTTTCTGACTTTTTAGTTGTGAATAAATATAATAATTACTAAAATCAGCAGTTCTTATTGCTATTTAGAGTGTTTACCAATCATTGGTGTTTATTATCGGCAAATTGGTGATTTGTGATTTTAACAACATTTAATAATTTTCAACATTTTAACAACATTTAATAATCTGATATAATCCTCTTTAGTTCTTTATCTCTGGTTTTATATTAAAACAATAAAATCCAAGAAATCAAAAATTATCTATTAACATGGATTTGAATTTGAACGATAATAGGTAAGTATACTTTATAAAGTTATTTCTATTTGCTATAAAATTGTTTATCAGGTTTTCAGTTTGCGATGTTTGTGGAAAAAGATTTTCATGCTCATCGTCTCTGAATCGGCATATGAAGAATATCCACGGAAAAGTAGTCAGTCTGAAGATAAACCAACACATCGTTTGTCCTTTGTGTTCAAACGAAAAGATTTGCTTTTCTTGCCATGAGGGATTATTGGATCATTTAAAAAATATCCACAAGGTAAGTATTAAAGAGAGCGTCTTAAATTTTAGGAACCTTCAAGAATTTGATGCTTGGAAGTGTTTAGAAAATAGAGAAATTGATTATGCTTGTCATCGAAAAATAAAAAAAGCCAATGGAGATGAATATGTATATTATAATTGTAATAGAAGCGATTCTAGGGGTAAAATACTTTATAATTAGTAACTTGTTTTTTTTGATAAGTAGTTGTTTTAGGTTTTGAGAGTAAATCAGTTGAACGGAACCCAAAGTCTGGAGGAAGTATTCGCATACAAGGAATATGCCCAGCAAGGATAATAGTCCAAATCTGTGTTAATGGTAGGCAATTATTCAAGATTTATTCTGTTTAATATTTTAAGTGACTGAAATATGAAATAATTTAAAATATTGGTATTTCCACGTAAGACAATATTATTTTTTTAGGGATGATTAGGGTCCGATACTTCGAAACTCATGTTGGGCATAATATAGAGTTGAGGAGTAGACGACTGACCAAATCTGAACAACAGACAGTCGCAGAAAAATTAATAGCTGGGGTTTCCGTCAATAGAATTATTCAGGATGCAAGAAAAATAGAAAACAGCACATTGGAAAGGATAAATATTATGTCAAGAGGAGATTTAGCATATTTAATGAGAAAATTTAATATTTATAACCAAAGAGATAAAGATGACATGATAGCAACTGCATTGAAAGTTGAAGAATGGAACAAGGACGGAAGGAATTATGCATTTTTGTTCAAACAGATTGGTTTAGTTTATTAAATTCTTTCTAGATACATTATTTTTTGAAACCTTTGTGGTTTATAGGTACAAGCTATCCAGGATTAAAGGATGAAGATTTTGCAGTGGGCTTCATGAATAATATAATGGAAAAAAATTGAAGGATTTTTCAAAGATCATTTGTATGGATGGTACTCACGGAACTAATAGGAGAAATTGGCAGCCGACTACAGTTTTAGTAAAAGATGATCAAAATATGGGTTTCCCTGTGGCATTTTTGGTAACTAATAGATTAGATCAAGTAATACAAAACATTTTTTTTAGAGAATTGAAATCAAGACTGGGACAAACTATCGACGCTGAATATATAATGACTGATGATGATCCAAAATACTATAATGCTTGGACCTTGAACATGGAAACAGGTCAGTCTATATTATATAATATATAATTGTTAGATAAACATTTTTTATAAATGTTCTTAATTATACTCTGTAAATAGAAGAAAAACCAAGAAGACTGCTTTGTACTTGGCATGTGGTTGGTTTCAGTTTATTGTAACACATGTAAGGTATGCATACACAGGTATACATGTCAGTGCCCTGAGTACTTAGTGAAAACTGCAATGTGTAAACATATACATGCTGTTGCCACATTTGAGCAGAGAAGCGAGTCTGTTTCAGGTTCAATTGATAGCCAGGAAGATAATAATTTGTACCTTGAACAGCCAGCAAGTACATCTCAATACAATAATGAATTGGACCATTTTATTCAAGAGAGGGAAGTCAATGATGATTTATACGTAGATAATGAAAGAAGACGTGAGGTATACCTCAGGGTTAAATAATCAGATTTGCAGCAGCAGAGATCTAACAAAAAAGAAACATATTGTAGATTATTTTGCAAGAAATGTGCAACGATATCCGTAGTTATGGCAGTAATTTAAATAATAACGGGTTTGAACAGTTTGTAGTTAGATTTGCAGATTTTAAAAAAAGTTTGAGTTTCACAAGTAATACTGAAACGTCAAGAAAAAGAAAAATAGAGAAACAGGTTTATTTTCCAAATAAAAAATCTAAATAAGGTCTGTTAAAATTGTATAAGTCATATAAAGAAACATTTATATGGATATTTATTTTTCCAGATTCCTTTACTTTTATTTACTTGGTTGTGGTGTTTGCAGATAGAAGCATGTTTTTTTGTTTTAACCAAATACTTTATTTTTGTGAAGATGGTTTATGGCATGTTCATTGTTTATTTTGGTGGTGGAATTTTAACAGAATAATATATTCAGATAACTCGCCTGTTAAAAAAGAGACATTTAATTTTAACACACTCTGTATACATCTTCCTTTCTTGTAATATTTTGTGTTAAAGCTTTGCCTGATTTAATTTGACAATTGTATTATATAACATTTGTATGTATTTAACAGATTTGATTTATGCTGTGAATAATTTTTGTTTTAAAGTTAAATCTAAATGCAATCGGTTACTGTCTATTCGTATTGAGTTTTGTAGTTTACTATGGTCTAGTGTGACAGCAAGAGCCTTGATAATGTAACTAATATTTTCCAAAACATGGCCTGCTAACTAACAAATACCTCTTCAGTTCTGAATGTAACAAATGGGGCATATTTTGGAATGTGTTAAACTACAATTTTTGATATGAGGATAGTACTTAAATTATTATTATTACTCTTTTCTTAAAGTTAACAGCATAATTGGATTCTTTGTAATAACGATCGGGGTTTTCTCTGCCGTGCTCTTTCCCTTGTGAATTCCAGGTTGAGTACACTCCAGGTTGAGTACAGGGCACTCTTTTCATTTATTTAATAAAATAAGTAGGGATGTTTACAAATTTAGCCTTTGATTTACACAACCCATTCTCCTAAAAGTTCTCTAATTTTGTTTGGGCATGTAGTTTTCCATATTTGTTTTATGTAGGTATTTACAATTCCAAATTTCAGGTGAGCGTTTTTTTAACACAAATTATTTTTACACTTTTATGGTGACTTGACATTGTTTTTTTGCTTGAATGTATATATTTTAAATATAATGCATGATTTTGAATTTTTAAAATATATAAATATTATAACTGCCTTTACAAAACTCCATTAAACTGTTAAAGGTGTAATTTACTTCAAACAAATATACATATATATTTATATCAAAAAAATAGTTTTTATTTGCCTAGCACTAATTTAATCATCACATACATATAAACATATATTTTCGTTATTTCAAATGATCTAAAAATTCAACAGGAATGACCTATATTATGCAGCAGACACATATATTAAATTATCGATATATTTTTGTGGGCATTTCACAAAGTCAAATGTCTGATCAAAAACTGAAAATGCAAAACAGATAGTAAGCTTTATAAGTACCTATACAATTTTTAATCATACCTTTACAACTTATATTTATTTAGGTCCTAAAATCCAACAAATAATTTAATATCTAAAGTAAATAATTAAACTTTTTATACCAAGAACAGTAATGTTTCCAAGTGTTCATATAAATCTTTATTTAAATATCCAGGATTAAAAAATATACGATTGTAATTCTTGTTATTTTCCTAAATACGTAATTACAAAATGTAACAAAACAGAAAAATATCTGAAAATATGATGTATGTAAAAACAACAGAAAAATCAGAGAGAAAAACAATAACAAATTGACTACCCTAACCAAAGATTTACCCGTCATACGTCAAACGCATCACGTGACTGCGCAATGCCCTTCGATAGGGTACGATACCTCTTGAATCTGATTGGACGGTTGGTTGCGTATTTTAATGTATCCTAGAAATATAGCCTCAGAAAAAAACAAGGTACTCAACATAACCCTAGAAACATTTTATTCCCTACAATACCATACAGACTAAAAAAAAATATATATCATAGATCAAACAAGAATTTCACCATAAAATTGATCTTTCGTTTAAAACGCCTTTTAAAAGACAAAGAACACTTCAAGGCAATTAAAGTTGTTAAGAGTAAATGTCTATGTAAATTAGCAAATAAAGCGACACATAGACAAATAGACAATTCAAATATAAGAATGTTCTCTAAAGCTTGTCAAAATATTTAGTTGGCTATAGGATGACCTACTCTTCCAAAAGCTCTTTTATTCTATGTATCGATAAGCCGCAATGTAGGGTCTCCAGTGTAGGATAGGATTTAGGGTCTCCAATGAAGGGTCTCCAGTGTCACAACCAAACCTAATTAATGTAAAATTATATGATATGTAAATATCCTTACATTGAGAATTCGTTTGGTCAAAATATTAGTCATAACAAGAATTTATTTTGTTATGAGTTTTTAGCCCAGAATCATATAAAATAAATACATTTTAAAACTACAGAACATTGTTTTTTTTTAGTTTTTGTGCTAATATTTCCAATTAAAATTACCGAATATATTTTGCGGTATAGGTAACCTATTGTTCTTTATTATGGTATAACTGGTCTGAAAACTCAATGCTAACAGAAAAGATGAATTTTGTGCTTTTTAATTATACATTATATTAATTATATTATTAATGTAAATAATATATATTGATATTCAATATAAAAATTAGTTTTTCACATGTATCTACTTTTCTTTTGTAATTAATATTATCTAAATAACAAAACGGCAATAATGTGGCCGGCCGTAGCTCCAGCAGTAGTGTGTCGATCTGCGGAGCGGAAGGTACTGGGTTCGATCCCCAGCCAGTACGGTTGCTTAATTTATTTAAATAAAAATATTTATTTATCTAAATAGAGCGACTAACGAGCCGCCACCTCAAGGAAGGCAATGGCAAACCACCTTGAGTATATTTGCCTTGTACAGGGTGTCCCATTTTGGTTGAAATCGTACGGTATCTCCGTTATTAGTAAAGATAGAAGGGTGCGGTTTGCACCAACCTGTGCCACTTTTTTGTCAAACGGAAGATGCCGTAAACGAAATTTTCATAGCTCTCTTAATTTCTGAGCTGCAGGGTCTTTTCGAAAATTTTACAATTTGGGACAGCCCCCGTATCTCCGTTATTATAGATGATATCGAGAAGGCAAAAACTGATTCTTGTAGAACTTTTTACGTAGAATACGTAATATATTAAATGCGTAGACTGTTTTTCTGCGAAAAAAATATTTTTGAAAATATGAACTAAAGTTATGTATTTTTCAAATGGAACACCCTGTATATTATAAATCCTATGATCCGCCTTGCTATGAGCTTCTCAAATATATAATCACTCTATATTTATTTTTACTATTTACTGCAATATTTAAAATATATAATTTTCTTATTAGTAGGCCGTGATAAATAACAAAATCAAAATGGTATTTCCTAATATAGACATACACATATTAAAATTTTATTTGGGATTGATATATTTTACTTTTGAACTGTTACCACTGAACCTCTGAATATATTTTTCTCTTTTCTATAACAGAATTTATTATAATGGGATGGGTTTGCAAATATCTAAAAGCTTGCATTATTAAAGCATTTTCCAGGTGTTCGACATCGTATTAGTTGCCACGATATATTTCATATTTCAAAAATCCCCAAAATCAGAAATTGAGAACGGACAAATCCGGAAATCAGGGAGGCCATCATATGGGTACATTGGTTCCAATTAATTGATTTGAGAAATAATAATTTAATAAAATTGTTGTAAATTAAGTTGTGAGGGGGAGCCCCATCTTGCTGAAAGTATATTTCACGTAAATTAGCTAAAGAAATATTTAAAAGTTACGATAGCTTCCAAGATTTACAAATAGCGGTAGAGAGTTACGTTTCCCTAATATATAAAGAATTAATTAGTGACTCTCAAAATAAAACAAGAGACAGATAGTAGTATTACTTTTAATAATTCTGTAGTTTTTTTATATACAATCATGGCCTACGAATAAATATGATCTTTTAATATATTTTTTAAAATATTCCATTAAATAATGAAAATAAATATAGAGTATTATATATTTTTGAGAAGATTATGGCAAGCCATATAATCATATAATTTATAAATATACACGGTGTTCCATTTAAGAAAACATAACTTTAGTTCATATCTTTAAAAATATTCTTTTAGTAGAATAACAGACTACGCCACTGTATTCTACGTAAAAAGTTCTACAATAAACAGTTTTCGTAAACAGAGAGGGTGTCCCAAATTGCAAAATTTTCAAAAAGACCCTGTAGCTCAGAAACGAAGAGAGTTATGAAAATTTTGTTTACGGCATCTTCCGTTTGACAAAAAAGTGGCACAGGTTTGTGCAAACCGCGCCCTTCTATCTTCACGAATAACGGAGATACCGTATGATTTCAACCAAAATGGGACACCCTGTACAGCCTCTCAAATAGTGCCGTTGGGATTCGACGATAAACTGTAGGTCCCGTGTACTTGTGAAACACTGATGACACACATCACAAGTAGGGGGGGGGGCTGGTACTGATCCCAGGGGGGGCCTAAGCCCGTGGTTACATTGAATGCGTGCCCGTGCGTTTTTTTGGTCGTACGTGGTCGTACGTGCACGCAGCAAAAAATAAGCAAATGGTATCTACGCAGGCGGTTACATTGCATCGGAGTTTGCGCGTCCGTGCACATACGTCGATTTCCGTTGGTCGGATGAAAACAAACTGGTTTGTTTTTTTAATACGTGTACATCCGAGCGTTCGAATTTTTATATCTCTGGGCCCAATACATTCCCGAAAAATTTGAATATTTTTATTCAAAAATGTTCAGGTTTATATTTTTATTTTAGATATATTAATGTTGCTGGAAACATTCTAAAATATTCAAAAAATTTGACAGGTTGCTGTTTTAATACACCAAATATTTTAAATATTCATTTTCTTCCCCTTTTCTTGCATATAAATCATTTACCTAACATTTTCTTCTGTTCATAAGTAGTTATTTTAACATTAAATCCTCAGACAGCAAAGTAGTGGCGTCCGTTTTGACAAATTCGACACACAGGACACCAAGATCGCATGATCGCATGCGCATCTAATGTAACCACTAAAATAAAATAGTCGTGCGAGTAAATTCCGTCAGAGTTCGCACGTTTAAAAAAACGCCCGGACCCACGTCCAATGTAACCGCGGGCTAACTCTTTTGTTTTTTAAAAAATTAAGAAAAATTAAAAAAACACGTTATTTGAATAAAACGTTTACATGAATTTCTCTATCAATAAATTTCATAGATTTGGTTATCAAATCGTGTTCCCGTAGATTACTAAAATACCTACAAATTTTCTAAAAAAATAAAAATTAACACATTTTTTGAACACAACAAAATAATATTAATTAAACAAAACTCGAAAACGTCATTTTTAGTACATCACAAGCAAATAAAAATTAATACGTAGGCAAGAGTCATAATTTAAGATTTCTCGGGGGGGTGCCCATAAACACATTTTTTTATAGTGTTTGTTAAATATTTTATAGCATATATTATGTATTTATAATAATTTATTAGTTTTATTGCATGAACACGTTTTTAAAATTTATTATTAAAAAAATATTTTATCTATGCCTCTAACCACCGACTTCTATATCTCTGGCTTTTACTCATCAATGAAATCTCAAGGATAAATTCTGTTTTGATGCTCTTCTGCTTTAAACTCCCCTACCACTTTCCTCTTTACCCCGCTGTCGCAACCATAAACTAGGGTAGTGGGGGCACTCACCGATAAAACGATGTGGGCACCTCGATTTTGTGAATTTATGAATGACTTGCTCTATCTATTTTTATTCTTAATCTAAGGTGTTCACTGACCCTGTATATACCAAGCTATTTAGCCCATTTTATTTTGACTACTTATTCCAATAATAAGAAAAGGATCAATAATTAACTTTTTTTTTAAACTCTGAAAGAGCAATTGTGTAGAGAAAACCTTAATCTAAAAATAAAGATTTTTCTAAAACTGCTAGGTACATATTATGCCAATATGATATTTTTGGAATAGGAATCTCAAATCCACTTAAGACAATAAACATTCCGTTTTAAAAAAAACCCATCTTCTGCATAAAATATATTTGAGTCACCCGTATATCTATAAAACTATTCTTAAAATGTGTGCGGATATAGGCTTGGTGCATTTCAGTTTATTTTAAAAATTCCGGCCGCGGCGCTCGATACGGCAGAAATCAGAGGTTTTCGGCTCTGTATTTCACCCCGTCCCGGATACAGTTCATGTTGATCACATTAAAATGACATTGAAATCGTGGTTTTGTCATAATATTTAAGTATTTTAGTTTTTTGCTAGTGCAGTAGTTATTTGCTGTCCTCCATTCGCGAACTTCGAGTTCCGGGCTTTACGCCCTGGGGCTACTCGAGAACGACTCGAGAAGGAGCTGTGCGCGATAGCCAGGTGCCTCAATTGCTGTCCTCCTTTCACGCAGTTGAGCAGCTCTGAACTGTTCAAGAACGCGATACTCCCACTCCCTTCAATTGAGTCATAAAGTTCCAGAACTGTTCCGCGCCATATGGAGGTTATGGAGGTATGAAGTTCGCGAATGGAGGACAGTAAATATGGCGCGGAACAGTTCTGAACTTTATGACTCAAATGAATGGAGGGAGAGTATCGCGTTCTTGAACAGTTCGGAGCTGCTCAACTGCGTGAAAGGAGGGCAGCAATTGAAACTATAAACACTCAGGTACGAGGTTTGTGTGATATAACGCTGTTTCGGGTAGTAAAAATTAAGTAAAAAAGAACTCGAACTGGACATCGCGTTGTGTTGTGACAATTTCAAATGTTAATAAAATCGCCGAAAAAATGTTAACGTGTAAAAGAGGGCGTAATTACGTAGTTGTTGGGTGTTTTTTTCGGATGACGTTCTTTTCGGTTGAAAAAAAATCGGTCGTCGGTTGAGTTGGAAAATACTTATACTAAAATTTATGTAGGGGTGGGGGTAGTTTTCACCCTTCCCGTCCTTTACTTTATTTTTTTGAAAGTCAAATGTTAAAGCATGTAGGAAAACACAGACACATTGCGAATGCAAAGCGCCCTGAAGATTGTGGAATCATGGGTGACACGGAAGGGACTAAATATCAGTCCTACAAAAGACCGTAATAATCCCCTTCACCAAGCGAAGAATTTTGGAAGATCAAGGACCTCTGAAACTCTACGGTGATGAGATTCCTCTCTCGTGGGAGGTCAAGTATCTAGGAATCACGCTGGATACCAAACTGACATGGAACCGACAATTGGTCACAAGGAGGGCGGTGACTACACGAGCGGTAGTCAGTAGTCAGACGACTTCATGGAAAAATCTGGGGCCTCAGATCACAGATGGTGCACTGGCTGTACACTGGAGTAGTGAGGCCTTCAGTAACATATGCATCCTTGGTATGGTGGCCTAAGGTAATGCAACAAACAACAATGCTCAGCCTCAGCAAGGTGCAAAAATTTGCTTGACTGAGCATAACAGAGGCGATGAATCCACGCCTCTTCACATAGTGATCCAGGCGGAGACAAGAATGAGACTCTATCGACAACAAAGTGTGTTGTCTCTGGGAAATAGGAGATAAACAGGATACTTAAAGATGGGAGATTCTATGGGGGGACCTCTACTCCAAATGAGATAGGACCAAATGACCCCTCTTTATCACTACCACAAACCATTCGAGGTGAACAAAATGGATCGAGGAATGTGGACAGATATAACATTCCTTCAGGATGGACTAACCTGGAACACAGAGGGGTCAAAGACCGTTGAAGAAACAGGAGCTGGAGTATTTGGGGAAAAACAAGGGTAAGCTTATCCTTTTCCTTGGGTAAATACTCAACCGTATTCAAGACAGCAATCTTCGCCGTTCTACAATATGCGAGAGAAAATAATAGAAGAGCTTATTCAGGTAAGCTCATCAATATATGCTCAGACAGTCAGGCGGCACTTGGGGCGCTTGGGGCGCTTATGAGCCCAAAGGTATCGTTGAGACTCGTCTGAGAATGCCTAGGTGAACTGGGAGCTCTAACACGAAGACAGAGAATTAAATTATTCTGGGTGCCGTGTCACAGCGGCATCCAAGGCAACGAAAAAGCCGATGAGCTAGCTAGGCAAGGATCATCGGCATCCTATCGTGGTCCAGAGCCAGTACTGGGAATACCCAAATGTATGGCCCGAAGTGCACTAAAACACAGGAAAGATCAGGGAAAAGTAGAATGTCCTTTGGGGAAACAGACAGGGGCACAGGAACAGCAAGGCCTTCTTTCTTCAAGAAGGAAGTCTTTGCTGCAGACTGCGATAAAGGTTCTGAAACAGTGAAGCACATAATATGTCACTGCAAGGCTCTGAATCGCAAGCGTCACTTTTTATTTGGGAAAGCTAAGCTAGAACCCGAGGAACTATGCTCCCATCCTAACAAGGACCTGCATAAGTTAGTACAGGACACAGAGAGACTGGAGACTGGTTGTAGATATAGAAAGGGGACAACCACAATAGGCCTCACAGGTCGCCCCTTGTTAATTGAGAAAAAAAAAGACACTTAAAATCTCATTCAAATCGGAATAACGGTTCTTAAAATATCTGAAAAAATGTATTTATTTTTTTAAAGTTTTATGAACGGACAAAGGAAGCAGTTTTGGATAGAGGTAAATTATGTCCAATGAACTTATATTGATTCCAAAAATACATAGTAGTTATATGTCCACGGAATATTGGGACACCCTGTATATACATATCTACATGCCCTGGTGGCAGTGGCGTAGCGTGAGTTAGGGGCGCCCGGGGCGGAGAACCTTTAGGAGGGAAGTTTGCCGCCCCTACAGAATCCGTCTGCCACCTCTATAACAATTTTTTGTCGCACCGCAGGTACTTGGAAGGTCACCGCCCGGGGCAAAAATGTTGCATTTTTCGACCACCTTTGTATTTCGCCCATAACAAGGGGACTAGAATAAATCTATGTGTAGCATCTTTAGTTTCATGAAAAAGTAGTACACTGATAAATGCATAAATGAGATAATACATAAACGAGAAGCCCTATAAAACACACAAAATGGGAAGGCCTCTACTGTCAAGTACCAACATTAATGAAGTTTTAGTTATAATCTCCTATAGTTTAAAACTGAAAACCCTTATGTGTTAAGTAATTGTAAGATTTCAAGCTGACATTAATAGTGTAATGCCTATTTTGCAATAACTGTAATTGAACACTCTTTGGAGAATTCTTTAACTGAAAACAAAAAGAGGTTCCTCTATCATAGCTGTTTGAAATAAACATATTGATATACAGACCATTACCTTTAGAGCTTCATAGAGAAAAACATATTCTTATAAATAACATATTCCAAAATATTTAATAGAGTTAATATTTAAATTATCACATTAAACAATTAATATTAACTAGGTCTGGCATTAAAACATTAAAATACGGCATTGAAAAGATCTTGTATTATTAATAGTATTAATACTTACTTTTTGATAAATGAAGTAAGGTTCTTCAATACTGTTCGGGAGGCCTGATCCAATAAAATTGTATGAAACTTATTCATTTCTTGCAAACTATGGATTAACTTATTTAGCGAAGATAGAACTTCAGGATCATCTTTAAAATGGGTGCTTAAGTCCCACAGGCTATTAGCAAAAAGACTAACAAACAAAAGAATGATACAAGTTATTATTATGGACTAAAATTATAACTAATCTTTACTACCTTTGCTGTCCAACATACGTTTTTCCACTGTCAATCATGCTACCACAAACTTTTAATATTTTATCCAATCTTTGTTCAAGTTGATCTATACTTTGCTCTTCATGTTCCAGCAATAGTCTATAAAATATTAAAAGATAAGTACTTGGTCCTCTTGTTAATAAAGTTATCATATTTCGCTTACCTAAATTTAGGAGAATCCCTAAGGCACTCTTGTAACTCTATTTTTACAACCATGTTAACTTAAGTGTACATCAACAGTGTAATAATAAGTAGGTAGTTGAATTAAATTTAAATTATTAGAACAGTATTACAATCTAAACTTAAACAGTGTCATGAATCATAAAAACATACTGTTAACAAGAAATTACTCTTCGCAGTATAATCAAGTATAATTCTGTAAATATAATGAAAGGAAATGAATGCCAGTCATATAAACAAGACGACACGAGAACGAAGTAAACTAAAAATATAACTAAAAATACAATATACCGTTAGAATATTGAAATAGCACTGAACTATGCAAATTCAGAATACAATTAATATCTTCTAACACCACATATGTTTTAATAAAACTATAATAACCACCTCCGTAACCACCAACAGAGACAAATTCTGACAAAAATAAATATCTAAATGACCACAGAAATATATAATAATTTAATGACGTCTTAATGACTAATAATAACCATAGAAAAAAACATACATAATTAGGGATGTTCCAAGTTCAAAAACACTGACAAACGTTGGGTTCATATTCACAGATTCAGCTACCAATATTTATATATGATCGACCCTTGGATCGACCTTGCATAGCATCGGTGTCTCGTGCATAGATAAAGGTAGACCTATTATCTATGAGATGAACCTGTCAAAGTCAAAAAGTTTTTAGGTTAAAATATTTAAATCTTTTTCACATCTCATATCTTTAAATGTTTTTTATTACTGCAAATTAACAAATAAACTGATTTTTCCCACATTATATCTTTAAAGATGAAAACTAACGTTAAAATTTCTAATAATCTAATTGAGGTAAGAACCTACTATACACAAAAAATTATTATTTTAAACATATGTTTTTAGAAACTTCAAAAGCTTCATGACCCTTGTTTTGGAAAATTATATGGAATTGTTATTAAAGATACAATATATGTCTTAGGTCTCCAAGTGGATAAAGATGATGCGAATATATTGTATTCATTTCCTAATGAAGTGGATTTCTGTGGGCTTTTTCAATCATATTTGCAAAATCCCGATACTGACACAATAATTCAAAGATGTAATGATATTGACGTTACCGATACCCCAGTTTTCCTTGGAATTAAAATTAATGGTAACAATAACCATATAGTTAGTCATGTTATAGAGAGCAATAAAGTAACAGATGCTAGTTACGTACCAGTAAAGTTAAATGAAATTTACTCAAACTTTGTTCATGTAAGAATAAGAGGAAACCTGTTTTTGAATTCTGAAGCAAGTGAAACAAGATTGCAGGAGAGTTTTAATGAATTGAGTAAGGATATCTTATCAGGTATGTGAATTTAATTCTTTTTAACAAGGAAATATTAATACACAGTAATCCAGCATTCTAAAAAACTTTATATCAAGTTTCTAGTGTTAGAAAATTAAAATCTTCTTTTAATTCTGTAGAATTTGTCATATTCTAGGAGAGTCCGGATTGCAGGAAAGGCACCACATATTGATATGATAGAAAAGAATACAAATAAAATCTATTTTAGGTACTTTAGCGTTTAAATTGCCCAAAGGAAACGTTATATTGACTGGAAAAGATACTGGAAATAATACAGTTGGCCTGGTAGGAGATCCAACCCTTGGTGATATTTTGGAATTAAACCAGAGCAATGAAATAACCCAGAAAAAAAGAAAAGTGGAAGATGATGATTATTCTTTGGACATTATAAATTTAAATTTTATTAAAAAAGTTTCAAACGATAAATATGTTGTTGATCAAAAACAGCATGCCCCTGTTGTCGTATTGGATAAAAGTAAGTAACTGCTTTTTGTTGTTAAATTAAGCAGAACAGTATTTTTATTATAAAATAAATTATTTTCCTGTTACGGCAACAACATATAGTAGGGGAGCTCAAGTGGGTATTCCACCCTGTTAAGTACCCCCACCATACATGAACCTTTTATACAGGGTCGTGCATGTAGGGTAGCCGATCAGAGTAGTAAAGAAAGTCCTTGTTAGAAAAACTCGAGCGCGTCAGATTAAGGTAAGGCAAGTTAATTACATGCAGAAAAGTGTGCATTTAAATAATCTGATAATTTAAGCTTGACATAATGAAATGGGGGGGGAGGGGGTCACAAAGTTGTAAAAAAAAGTTGTCAGCTTGGTATTCTCGAGCGTTGTTATTTTTTTCTAGTTTGAGAGAAATTATTCAAGTATCATGGAAATAACATAATCTGCTGATTCCCGCAAGCCAAAGTAGCTAAAATCAAGAAAGTCCCTCTTCAAAAAAGTCCTCTGAGTATTTCGTCACTTGCGCCATAAAAAAATCTACAAAATAAAATAGTTATTTTTTGTAAACACCGCTGCAACGGATACCAAGTTGTCAGCGATAATTTACTAATAAACAAATTTGCCTAACGGACAAAAAATACTTAACGTTTTGGGAAGTATCGTCGGAACCAAAAAAAAAACAAAGAACAAAGAAAAACTATTTAAAATATCTAAATACAACCAGAGATACAACTATTCAAGAATATTTTGGTTTTTTTTCCCAACAGATATGTCTATTAAAAACCGTTGATGTTAAAATAGTCATTATATCAAGTTAAACTTCAAAATTAACAATTACTACCTGATAACAATTAATTTTAGTTTTTAATTTTTACTTATGTTTATTATAATCAAAGAAGCAAAAGCAATACATTACTAACCTCTACAGATGCCTGAGCAATACATTTTTTTTCAGACGTCACAAAATTATTAATTCTTGCGACGTGATTGACAATATAAAAAGTTATTTTAACGCCTAGGCATAAGAGTAAAGCACTTTTACGCCTAAACACAAAAGTACGAGAATATATTATTAAACTGACGTCTAAAACGTCGAGATGCGGAGACGTAAAAATCGTCTCCGCATCCGATAGACCCTCTGTAGTTAATAAGAGGTATGGCATAACCTAATACCAAAAAAATATAGATAACAATAAATAAAGATTTCAGTTTCATTAATAGAAGGAATAAATACGGTGCAGTGATGGGCATTACGATTTTTTTTAGTGAATCGAATCACACGATTCAGTTTCTCATATTGAATCGACTCCTACGATTTGTTCATTTGAACGAACCACATGCACAATTTACGTTTCATAAAAACAAGAATCGTAACTGGCACTACCGGCGATAATTTGGTCAATTACTTAAGGGACCAGAAAAGAAATATACAGTTCTTTCAACACTTTATGGGACTAATAATATTAAATTATCAATCCAATTCATATGTACTAATTATACCCGAAAATTAAATGCATTACAGATACTCCCATACTAAGCACAATATAAATAAGTTTTTTTCCTGTAAATAACTTTCGTATCGTTTGCATTTATGCCCATGATGCTTGTTTAGGGCTTTTGTTCAAGTCGTATTTGTGCCCAACTATCTCTATGCCAACTCTATGCCAATATCACTGTCGCGCGTTAGAAACGCGCTAGTCGCATTATGATCCGATTCAATTCTTAAGGCCCCTACAGGCGGACGTTTTTGTACGCGTTTATGTACGTGTGTTCAAAAACGTGCACACAAAAACGTCAATGTGTATGCACAGAAACGTCATGTTCTTGAATGATACTAAGCACAATATAAATAAGTTTTTTTTTCTGTAAATAACTTTCGTATCGTTTGCATTTATGCCCATGATGCTTGTTTAGGGCTTTTGTTCAAGTCGTATTTGTGCCCAACTATCTCTATGCCAACTCTATGCCAATATCACTGTCGCGCGTTAGAAACGCGCTAGTCGCATTATGATCCGATTCAATTCTTAAGGCCCCTACAGGCGGACGTTTTTGTACGCGTTTATGTACGTGTGTTCAAAAACGTGCACACAAAAACGTCAATGTGTATGCACAGAAACGTCATGTTCTTGAATGCACATTCGTTTTGAACGACGCTCATGATTTCTGTCGACGACAGAAATTTTGTACGTGCACGCAGGATTTTCTTTCAAGTCTCAACGTGTGGATGTGAACTGTGCGTCGCACAACAGTAGCGTCGATTGGTCCAACAAGCTGCAGCGTTCTGTTGATTTGACTTTGCTAATAATTTCTTAGTAGAAATGTCTGATTGTAGAACACTATCCCGTGAATTCCTGCTGGAATTTATTAAATTGTACAGAGAAATGCCAGGTCTTTGGCAAGTAAAATCCAAACAATATTTAGATAGAATTAAAAAAAAACGAGGCTTACGCAAAGCTGGTTAGGAAGCTACAAGTTGTTCAGCCAAACGCGACTAAGGCTTGAGTTATAACTAAACTTAACAGTCTTCGGGGAGGATGTGGGAGGACTTGGAGGAACTGAACATAAAAAGGTTGTTGACTCCAAGAGATCTGGTTCGGGAGCGGATGAAGTGTATGTTCCATCACTTTGGTATTATGACCAAACCTTTGGCGTTGAAGAAGCCACTCTTTACACCAAATACGGCGCGGTTAGGAAGTTTATTTATTTAGATTAGGTTATTTTTTTTAACTTTCGTTTGAAGCACAGCAGTGCACGCCACTGCTGCCAATGCTAACTCAACCACTTCCTTGGACATCGCTCTAAAATACTGTGGATTTTCAGATTTTGTATGTGCATCTATATGCACTGCTAGTGCACGTTTTTGTGTGCACGTTTTTGAACGCGCGTACATAAACGTGCACACTTAAAATTTATTATTATTTTCTTTTAATTTTATAAATAAAATACAGTGTGGTTGCATACATGAAACTTTATTTTATATAACGACATGTATGATGTATGAAATACCTATGAAGCATTGGAAACCGACGTTATGCCATGATTCACGATGGTTTTTGCAGCTCACAGTTCACAGCACAACTTTTAAAGTTTTTAATGCCACTTTTTCACAATTATCATGGGTTTGAGTAAATAAAACTTAAATTAAACTTACAAGATACACGTGACGTCATACGCCATACAAAAAAACATCCATATTGTTCAATTGCCACTAATAAAAAGAGACCTAAAATAGGGAAGAATTAGGACATAGCCCCAAAAATTTTGTCAAATCATCGAGCTTGACATTTGAAAAGTTATGACACATTTATTGTGTCATCTGTTCGACACTTTGAAATTGGCGCGCAGAGCTTGCCGACCAATAGTGCTGTTTATCTCCTGTCAAGGTTATTAAAAGGTAAGAAGGTTGTCTCGTAACTCGATCCGCCATTATCGAAAACGTCATCTACTACGTCACAAGGATGCTACCGCTCATAGATAAAGGGATAAAAACAGCCGACAGACCGACGGTGCATTTCCAAATCGATATTCATTGTGTATATGGTGTATGGCGTCCATAGTTTCTAGTTGTTTGATGTTTGTTTTCTTTATTACATTGCCCATATATCTCTCTTTGTCCGTTGCATTCTATTCTTTATTCTTTTTATCTATGATTTTATACGTTCTGTCTACGTCACAGTGATGATATTCCGCTTCGCTCCTATTGGTCCAAAAGTTATGAGACAACCTTACCTTGTAATAACCTTGATCTCCTGTGACGTAGTGATCAACTTGCGCAATATCATACCTTGTTTTCTTTGTATCATGTAATTACCCTATAATCACTTACAAGGTATTACTTTTAAATAGTTCTATATTATTTGGGAGATTTGAAATTGTTTAAAAAATTATTTGTGGAATTTGAAAAAAAAATAGCATGTTCTATTCGGAGTAAAAATTACTTTTTGCGCCTCGCCTGTATGTCAAACGTACAACCTCGCCACGAAAAGTAACATCCTAATAAACAATATACTATTAGACTTACTTAGACAATATGTATTAAAAAAAGCCTCTTTTGTTTTTCGTTTAGAAGCAATCGGTTCTTTCATAATAATTTTTGTGTTGTTAAAATCTACTCTTTGTGTCCCACGAATGCTGAGAAATCTTAGATTTGCGAGATCCCCCTTTTTTAAATAATCTTTTTGTTCTTTAATTCGAACATCTAACGATTTAAAGGTTTCACCAATATAAAATTTATCAAGAGAGTGTGATGCTAAGAACTATACAGGGTTGTTCACCACATACGACACGGAGCATTGTAGCCAAACGATTAGATTTTTACAAATTTAAGTTTTGGGTTCGTTGAAGGACTATTAGAGTTACAATTTAAAAATATTTTTCAAGATACAGAGTGTACCAAATAAATAAAAAAATATCAAAGTTGTATTTTTTTAAATGGCACACCTTGTATATTACTGCATTTTTAGTTTCTACGATTAAAATAAAGGTAAATTTGATTAAGGTTTATCACACTTAAACCTTACCGTTTTTGAAATATTTTCAATTTTGTGAAATTGCAGTATAAATTTTAAGGCTTCATTTCTCCGAGGGTATCAAAGTTTTTAATACTAAATATTTACTGAAGTTTATTTATTGATGAGTTATTGTGTTACAATAATAAAAATTATACTACCTTATACAGAGTGTCTAAAAATTTGTTTTAAATAATTACTAGCTTTAAACGGCAATAACTTGTTTAATTTAAATGGAACACCCTGTATATTTTATGAGAATCAGATGCACAATTTAATTGTCCATCAAGTTGTATTATACCACTTTTTACCTATCCCTTCAAGTTCTCGTAGAAAATGCATTTCCTTATAATTTAGACCTCATTTATCAATATACCCATGGAATATGGACATTTTAGATTGTTTTTAAAACAACAAATGTACAAAATATACAGGCTAGTAATATTATCGTTTTTAGTAAAACGATAATATTACTAGCCCATTTGTATGCAAAAAGAAAATTATTTAAATCTTTATAAAAGAGTATACCATTAATTAAATATATCACAAGTATTTCCGCCCAAATACTAATTAATTACATACTTAATTGTGTTCGTTAATAAATTATTCTAAATAAATGTGGATTTGAATCAGAAATCAATATAATAATAAGTGATGAGAATGAACGTCTCTGTTGTTATAAATAAGCATTTGTCAAAAAACAAAATATCATTTTTAAGGTGTTTACCACACTGTCTAAGTTTTTTTACCACACTGTCTAATACACATACATAATTCAGTTTTTTAGTATTTGGAGCAATTATTATTATCAACGCAAACAGTCAATGTAGTTTGAATACTGGAATCATATTAATTGGTCCTCTTTAACAAATATTTAAACAGTTTTTTTTTTATTTTTAAATGAAATAAACAAACTATATCGACAATATTAGTATCTGTACTCTTTAAAAATTTGGTACATCTTTAAAAATAATCTAAAATGCCAGTATTTCATGGGTATATTGATAAATGAGTTCTAAATTACAAGAAAATGCATTTTCTACGGAAACTTGAAGAGATAGGTAAAAAATAGTATAATACAATTTGATAGACAATTAAATTGTGCATCTGATTTTCATAAAATATACAGGGTGTTCCATTTAAATTAAACAAGTTATTGCCGTTTAGACACTTTGTATAAGGTAGTAAAATTTTTATTATTGCAACACAGTAACTAATCAATAAATAAACTTCAGTAAATATTTAGTATTAAAAACTTTGATACCCTCGGAGAAATGAACCCTTAAAATTTATAAATTTATACTGCAATTTCACAAAATTGAAAATAGTTCAAAAACGGTAAGGTTTAAGTGTAATAAACCTAAATCAGATTTACCTTTATTTTAATCGTATAAACTAAAAATGTAATAATATACAGGGTGTTCTAGTTAAAAAAATACAACTTTGATATTTTTTATTTATTTGGGACACTCTGTATCTTGTAAAAATATTTTTAAATTGTAGCTCTAATAGTCCTGATAATAATAATCCTAATTTGATCGTTTAGTTACCATATTCCTTGTCGTATGTGGTGAACAACCCTGTATATTTATAAAAAATCTACTATGATTTTTGGTCGCGTCCAAATATAGAATTTTTATGGTTTACTTAACATCCCATATGAATGTCTAACGCTTTCGAATATTTTTTCTTTCTTATTTTCTACTCTTTAGTATATATGGCCATCCCCACCATGCAAATCAGCAGATGAATATACCTTTCTTATCAGAAACACGTTGGGCGTATTTTTAATTCTCTATTAGTACTATTTATACCCGAATGCACTATTAATACTGGAAACGCCCCAGTATTTCTTTGTAACTTATTTTACCCTTTACTTTTTAGAAAACCCTGTACATGCTACCCATTTTCACAATCCATCACACCCTATCTAGCTATCTGGGGCTCCCCTACTAATCAAATTTAAATGGAGTTTGTAGGTACATATATAATTATTTATTTATTTTAGAACTTGCTGATGTAATAAAAGTCCCAATCAAAATTGATTTTTTGTCTTTAATTCAAAGGAACGTGCATTTTTCAACATTATATAATATTATGCTAGAAAGTATTCTGAAGAATTTGAATTTATTTGAAAATTGTTTGTATGTCGTTTTACGAGAAAATGAAATAAAAGGAAAAATTGATTCGCCAGAAACATTGCATTTCTTTGTCAAAGAATGTGGTCACTTTGTCACACAAATTGTTTTTAACCGTTCAACAGAAATATTAAGTAAGTACGTATGTTATAATTTGAAGGGTGTAGGAAAAAAATAGATATGTAACATTTTATTGAAAATTTGAATATTTGGCGCTATTGAATTATCGGACTTCAGATGTATATTTTAGACAAGTAAAAATGGGGACAAAAACAGCATCTTAAGTAAAATAATATTTAATATATACCCTCAAGGGAAAGAAACAGCTTTGCCCAAGCATCAAGGTAACAGCTCAAGATATCATGTAAATATATGAAGTACTATATAAGATTTTGTCATAGTAAATAACTTGAATATATACAGGGTGTCCCAAAAATGATAGATCGAATTAAAGTAGGAGGTAGGGGAGGTTATTTCCAACAAAAAAAGTCCTATAGACATATGTCCGATTCATGAGCGTTTCCGAGTTATTGCTATTTTTGTAATTTTTATGATAATCTCACATTTCTTTCCAATTTTTTTTCATTATTTTTTTCCCAAATAAAATTTTACTAGCATCCCTATAAAAGATTCTTTATTGTACGGCGCATTTTTTATTGTGCGTGCTGATTATGCAACCTACTGTCATTTTTAAGCACATTTTTAGGATTTTAATTGAAAAACTTTAATGTTTGTGGTAATTTTTCAGAAAAAATACTCAATTAAGAAGGTGTCCCATAACATAAAAAACTACAGTCAGGTATTCTTCTTTAAATAGGGTACTTTTTAAAAATACTCAAATAATTGTTATTGCTGAAATTTGTTAAACATAATAATTGTAATGTCAAAAAAGTGAATTTAAATAAATACATAATATTGATTAATATCAGAGACATAAGACAATGTGATAGTAAGGAGTAAGTTTATTTATAACAAAATTATTTACATAAAAAAACTTATAATAATTATATTACAAAAGGTGCTTAAAATGTCCCTCATTTGCTCTAATACACACTCTGCATCGACGTATAAAATTTCGTTTTATGCGCCTTAAAGTGGGAACATTGGTACGAATTTGCTGTGCCACTACTCCTATTCTTTCACGAAGTTCATCTTCGTTATATTTAAAAAAAAATCCAACGGATTTAAATCCAGCCAACGTGGTGGCCATCTTATTGTTCCTCCTCGCCCTATCCACCTGTTGGGAAATGTTTGGTCAAGAAACTGTCTCACATTGCTAGCAAAGTGAGGGGGAGCCCCGTCAAGCTGAAACCACATATTCGCACGTAAAGCAATCGGAATAGCCTCCAATATCATGTTTAGATCGTCTTGTAAAAAATTAAGGTAATTTGCTCCATTCAGTCTTCTTGGTATTTCAAAGGGGTCTATCAAAGTGCCGTTGATTTAACACGGCTTCCATATCATCGTCATATTGCCTTGGCCTTCCTATATGTTCTATTGGGACTCCAGGTAACCTTCCAGCAACATATGCATTATGTATCCATATAAAAATACGATAATCGGGATAGTGTTGTCGGTTCGTGTAACGTTGACAATAAAGTCTTGCAGCACGTCGAGCACGTCCATTACACGATCCATAAACAAAATGCATTTCTGCATATTCTTGCGAGGTAAAAAGCATTTTGTTAATCTTGTCAGAACTGAACACTTGTCAATACACGACTAAAATACTCTCGTAAAGGCAATGGAATTTTGGTAAAATAAAAACTGTAGGTATTTTCCTCGGTATTTGCAGAATTTTACTAAGTTAATAAACAGATAATTCAATTGGCAGATAAACATTTGACCCATCGAGTTTTAAGAATGTTTAGGCTAAAATGTTGAATTAAAAATTTTACTGTTCCTTCCAATAAGACACAAATAGCTAAATCAGGAGGAAAAATATATATTTTTAATAAAATTTAACAATTAAATTTGTTTTTTGGAAAAAGTGTTAAATTATTATAATAAATCATAAATGGAAAAAATTTTCACCAGCCTTTGTAACCTACTTTTTCTGAGTATTTTCTAATTTGAATAATTTCGTTATAAATAAACTCACTCATTACTATCAAATTGTCTTATTTCTCTGATATAAATTAATATTAAATGTACTTATTTAAATTCAGTTTTTTGACATTACAACTTTAATTCGATCCATCATTTTTGGGACACCCTGAATATATTCAAGTTGTTTACTATGACAAAATCTTATATAGTACTTCGTATATTTACATGATATCGCTGTTACCTTGATGCTTGGACAAAGCTGTTTCTTTCCCAGGGTGTTTTTTGAGGGTATATATTAAATATTATTTTACTTAAGATTATGCTGTTTTTGTTCCCATTTTTACTTGTCTAAAATATACATCTGAAGTCGGATAATTCAATAGCGCCAAATATTCAAATTTTCAATAAAATGTGACATATCTGTTTTTTTTCCTTGGAAATAACTTCCCCTACCTCCTACTTTAATTTGATCCATCATTTTTGGTACACCCTGTATTTTTAGAATAAAAATATTTCGTTTTGACCATTAAAATTTTATTTGCTCAGTTTGAAAATAAAGCAACATGTCTGATTTTTTTCCATACCCTTCATTTATTAGTCAATTAGATTTTTTATTCTATACTTTATATAACTATACCTACAGTGTTTGCCAAAAATTTTACAATAAATGTAATGGATTTTTATTGAATAATCGAAAAAAATAAGCTAATCAATCAAAAGTCATATGACAACTGTCATGACTGGATTTACAATCTCACCGCTATGTGTAGTATAAAATAAAATAAGGAAAAATGTCGAAGAAAAACTTTGTTCGACCTGCAGTTTCCTAAGTAATATCTTAAAAATATCAAATATTTTAGAGAAGGAAAGAGAAGCACTTCATGACATACTCTTAATAAGTAAACAGTACCCAGTATTTCGCAAAGGAAATAAATACCAGTTTTATGATGAAAATAGAAAAAATAAACTATTACTAAATCCACATAAAGGATTAAAGTCAACAAATAATAGTAAGTATTTTAGGTAATATTTCGTTATTATTTTTTTCTAATTTGAAATAAAAATATACCTTGACAAGTTATAGGGGTAATTTTAGATAAGTATAAATATATAAGTAAGTATATATTTTATATAATAAGTATTTAAATTATTTACGCAGTTTGCTGAATATAATTTTAACTAGTGATGGGAAAAACCGATTAATTTCAATAATCGAGTACTCGAGTATCAAGCGATTGCAATAACCGAGTGATCACTCGAGCGAAATATCGCTCGTATTTAAAAATACGATTTTTTGTCCGTCGCATGTTGTAAGTACTCGTTAACGCCAAGCGCCAAGCAGTAAGCTGCGTGCGCAGGCTACATATTCTTTCGGTAATGAACGGCAAGTAGTAAGTGGCGAGCGATTCGCTTGATCGCCTGATGCCTGATTTAGTTTATTTCGAAGCATTGTCGATGTAGATCGTAAAATTTTGTCTCTCAGATACGCAACGAATAAATATACCGGGTGCGTCTCAAAAGTGGATCATCCCTATAAGTTTTTTATTTTTCCAGATAAAACAACGAGATTTGGTATGTTAGTATATGACATAAATTAGGATTGATTGACATATTCAATTGTTTTCGGTCACTTCCGGTTTCACCCGAAATTACTGCAACTTTTTGACATTTTCGCATATGGTTCATTTGAAATTGTAACATGCGGTTCATAACGACAATTCGACTCGAAGTACCAAGTGTGTGGTATCAAATTATTCGTAAAAAAATTCTTTTTCGAAATATGCTAATGATCCACCCTCGTTCCATTTGAAAAAAATTGAGATATGATCAAAAATACGATTTGGGCATCTTTTAACCGGCCAGGGCAAGACACTAAAAACATTAGACGATCAAATCTATTTTTCCAAGGCTTCTTGATTAAAAATTAGCGTTTTTAATACAGCCATGGCACTCTAGATTGCAATTTAAAGTACAATTTGTTTTTAAGCGAATATGTCAAAAGTTGACATATGATACGTCATTCTATTTAGAATGTCATTTTCTATCGAATAAAGTAAAAAAAATACCGAGGGTGCCATTTAAAAATCAAAAATTGTAGTCATTTCCGGTGAAACAGGAAGTGACAGAAAACAATTGAATACGTTAATCAATCCTAATTTATCTCTTATACTAACATACCAAATCTCATTTTTTTATCTAAAAAATAAAAAAGTAATAGGGGTGAGTCACATTTGAGACGCACCCGGTATATACGGCGTCGTATAAATTTGCTACCTTCAATGTATGTAGAAAATTCGCTCGGCTTTTTATCGAATATGTCACATTGGTAGGTACTCGTCACTTGCATCGCTCGTTCATAATCGAGCGATGTCGGTTATTTCAATAATCGAGTACTCGAGCGAATTTTTTATACCCATAAAAATTGTTGTTTCTACATCTTTCCGTTTTCGTATAATCAACCGAAGCGAATGAGGTGCGCCACCCTGTATTTCTGTGATTTTTTACGTAAAAAATGTCTTGGTAAAAATCGCTCCGAGCAACCATTCTCAAGATATTTAGAATGGAAATACTTTAATCAACGAGTGTTTCGCTCGTACGAGCATCATCAGACAAATACAATAAAAGTCAATCCACACACACGTTCACATTTTACATATTGACATATTGATATGTAAAATGTGAACGTGTGTGTGGATTGACTTTTATTGCGTTTGTCTGATGATGCTTGTATCAGCGAAACACGTGTCACTGTTTAACTTAATATAAACGATGAGACCGAGACTTTGAGTCTTTTTTATACTTCTTTTTAATTTAAACCAGGTCTCTTTGAGAATAATGGACGTCTTCTTTAAATTAGATAGTTATATAACTGAAATGATAAATTTGGGAACTTTTTATTTTTTTAAATTAATCATAAATTTATCTTCGAAAAAATGATGATATAACAGTTACTGTTGAATTTTTGGCACACAAATATTTAAAATTTATGATTTCAGTCTAATAGTTATTTAGTCAACATATTTAATTTATGGAAATGAGATAGGGTAATAATTTCGATTTCAAATATCTCGAGAACCGTTACTCATAGCAATTTTTACCTAGATATCTTTTTTACGTAAAAACCTCATAAATGTATATTTTCTTACTCGGTAGTTTTATACAGGTACGGACGAAACGTTATTACTCTTCAAACCAGTTAAAAAATATGTAGGTGGCGCCCTCTACAAACAGGAGTCATACTGACAACAAAATCAAATTTTTCACATAAAAAACTTTTTTGACACCAATTGTCATCCAAATATTGAGGTTACTTCAGAAATTATTTGGAAAAAATCGAAATAAAAATGAAATTTCTACACCCTGTATCTCCGAAACGAAACATTTTAGGACATACATTTATAAGAACTTTTTTACTTATTTTTATATGAAGAATATGCTGCCGAATTTTCCGGAATACAGTTCGGACCACCCTGTATGTATCGGCGGAATACCGAATATTAAAAGAAGTGCCCGAATACCGTATAGTAGCCGAATATTCGTCGCATGTCTACTGGAAAGACTAAAATAAAATAATTTTCTTATTTTTAGGCGGAAAAGTATGTTTAGTTAAAGGAAATTATGAATATTATCACTATTGTCAGGATAAAATTGATGACAATGGATGGGGTTGTGCTTACAGATCATTACAAACTTTAGCGTCATGGTTTAAATTGCAAGTAAGTAAAATGAAAATATATATGGTAATCGCAAAACATTTTCCGATGCACGTGATCAATTTTGAGTGACAAACGATGGCGACAGCGCTGCCAGATTGTGATGGATTTATGAGATGAATCTTAATTTAAAAGTGACAAACAATATATTTATTATTATCATTTTCTTAGATCTTATAAACTTCGTGGATAAAGCTATGCCATATGTATATTACACACGACTTTGTTTACGGGACTTTCACATGCATTTTTCTATTTATTTCTTTCTCGACCAAGATTATCATATAAATCTATCCTTCTCTCTGCGTATGCTACTGAGCATGCGCAGAACGATATTAGACGTAAATGCTAACTTGGAGTGATTTTTTCGCTGCGTTGACAACAATTACTAAAAATATAGACCACTAAAAGTTTTCAATCAAGATATTATCAAGATATAACTGATACGTGTATTTATTATTTTGAAAATATTTGTCATATTATTTCCAATATACTTTTTATATATATTTTAAACAAAAATTAAATCATATAACGATAAATTCTTTTTTAAAAACGTTTTAAAATACTACATTAAAAAATAGCTATTATGAATGAGCAACACATAGAAATCAGTAACCAGGGAAACGTTAAAATATGTTTTGACATTGAAAAGTCAAAACATATTTTAATAAAATAATTTAATTTATGTCATAGATAAATGCAACAAGTTTAGATTGGAAAGCCCGTAAAAATTTTAGGTCGCGAAATTATTTTGGGTCGCGACCGTTATACGCGATCTGGCGCTGCTATAGCGGTCGCTAAGAACAACGGCAAACAAAAACAGAAATAATTTTGTCTCGTCAAAGTCAGAATCTCCAAAAATCATAATAATCTTTCAAAATCTAAACCGCTCTCATTAAAGAAATTCCGAAAAGTGTTTATAGCGTTCATTTTCAAAGTAATTATTGCTATCTTGTGAGTTAAATTCAAGTTTTATTTACTCCAACCGGTGATAATTGTGAAAAAGTGGCATTAAAAGCTTAAAAAGCTGTGCTGTGAACTTTGAACAGCAAAAACCATCGTGGATCGTGGCATAACGTCTGTTTCCAATGTTTCATAGGTATTTCATACATGCGTCCTTATATAAAATAAAGTTTCTTGTATGCAACACACTGTATTTTATTTATAAAATTAAACGAAAATAATAATAAATTTGAATAAACAATATTTGGCGATATAATTCCGGAAAAAGCCGAACCGCTCCGAAATTTTCAAAAGTTTTGGGTCGCGACCGTTGCAAGAACAGCGCCAAATAGTGTTTACATTGTCCTTATGGGCACTTTCCAATCTAAACTTGTTTCATTTATCTATGATTTATGTCACATTTTGTGCTTTTTGTATACTGTTTCACTCGTGATAATAAAGAGTTAATTTGTGGAATTCCGACGAGATATTTTAAATTTGTGTTCTTTTTGAAAGTTTGTTTTTGTAGTGCGATAAAGTTAGTGAATAAATATATAGACATTATGACTGATAAAAGTGTTATATGTGAAGCTGTCCGCAATAGGAAAAATCTTATCCTTAAAAGAACTCCACAACACTATAAAAGTACAAAAGTATGAAAACCTCTGAAGTATGTTCCATATTTTTAAAAAACAAGATATATATTATTTAAAATCGTTTCTTCAACTGACTTTTATTCAGCGAAATACATATTTATGTTAGATAACTTAATCACTTTAAATACTATTAGGTAATTTACCTTTGATTTTTTTTTCGTTAAATAGTTAATATACTAGTTAATATTATCCAATAAATAATTAATATCCCGAATAACAATATTATTTTCTCAAATTTATATATTTACATTTTCTATTTTATACATAAAAATGACATACACAAAACAAAGACAGACGATTGGTCAATCAGTGTCAAAGACAAAGATAATCAGACAGTCGAATGTCGCTGATGTGTTTTCAACAAAAATTAAGCGAATTTACTTATGCACGAAGTTTATAAGATCTAAGATCATTTTTTAAAAAATTTTACGTTTTATTTTTAATTTAATAACTAATATTTTGGTAATTAATTGATTTATTTGTTTTATAGCTTATTTTACTTATTACATATTACAGTTGAGGGTTGGAACCTTTGGTGTTACACAGCAAAATAAAATACTAAATCACCACAATACACCAAAGCACTTTTACTTTTAAATTTACCATGTTAGCATCATCAGTAGATGATTATAAACTAAAATACAATCTACAGTTGGAGCGTTTATATACTCGCTCAGTGGGCACAGAGTGGGCGTGGCAAGATCTAGCCAACCGAGTCAGAACCATCATAGTTTTCCACTTTCCGACGAAAGATATGAAATAGAAAGAGATTACATTAGGAATGTAGCTGAGTGTAATGGATATTCTCTTTCACTAGTTGATAAAATAATTAGAAAACGTAGGTATAGGTTAATGATTTCTGAAAATTCGACTTTTCAAGTGGAGAAAGATACGTCAAAATATTTTTCAATACCGTTTGATAGACAGTTATCCCGTGGTCTAAAAGGAATTTTTAAGATTGTCAATTATAAACTTGTGTATAGTGCTAATAATAAATTACAACAATTATTAAGTAATCCAAAGGATAAAACACCTCTACTGGAAAGGTCGGGTATTTATGAAATCTCCTGTAAAGATTGTAATCAGAAATATGTTGGGCAAACTAGAAGATCAATATTAACTAGATTTAAAGAACATTTAGCTCAGATAAGATATGGTAGACCTGGTAAATCTTGCGTTGCCGAACATATTGTTGATAAAGAACATTGTATAGATCTTAATAACTTAAAATTACTTAAACAAGTCTCAAATTACAGGCAATTAGATGCATATGAAAGCATCAGAATTAATAAATGTAAAGATAGTATGAACAGAGACAACGGTCCAATTCCTTCAAGTTCTTTGTTCCTACTACTCTAGTGGCTGAAATCTAACTGTTACGCTCGGTGGGCTCTGACTCGGCTGGCTAGATCTTGCCACGCCCACTCTGTGCCCACTGAGCGAGTATATAAACGCTCCAATTGTAGATTGTATTTTAGTTTATAATCATCTGCTGATGATGCTAACATGGTTAGCGAAACGCGCGTCCAGTGTAAAAGTGTTTTGGTGTATTGTGGTGATTTAGTGTTTTATTTTGTTATTACATATTGGCAAAAACTAGTCTATTATGAAGATTTTTCTAAGCGTTATTATTGGTTATTTATTTATTTATTGATGTACATCTTACAACGCCAACGCCAACAGAATTTAATAAAAACTAACGTAGAAATAACTTTGAAAGTGGTATAATGTGCTTATCAATCAAACGTACTTCTCCGACTGCAGTCAAGGGTAATACACCTTTATTGTCACGTTCTCGTTCAAAATAGTTTATCAGGGAAGCTACAAGTTCTTTGCTTCGGCTGTTCAAATGCTTCGGCATATTTTCAACACACAATTTCAAGAAATGCAATACAAAAACTCGAAAATTTAGTTCTTGAAAGAACTGTTTGTGCTTAAAAGTACAATTTAAAAAAAATACTATGAAAATAGGCAAAAAAACGAGAATTACTCACAAAGATTCAAGAACAACACGATATTATACAAAATAATAACTGACATTAGGATAATTGTCAAATAATAAACGACAACCTTGCTGAAACCGGCGCAATGTGACCAACATAGCGATAATGAAATTCGGTTTAAACTAATTTTTGCAGCTTTAATCTAAATAAAATACCTGTTACAATCATTTGCTCTATAAAGTAAAATGAAAAGCTGCTCGGTATCTTAAATTATTCAACAAATTTAAACATTCTTGTCAAAATTTTATTTAGTCAGGTTTATAGACTTTAGTGTCAATGTCGATATATAATTGATGACGTGCATCGGAAAATGTTTTGCGATTGCAGTATTTAAATTAAGCGGTACTTTTAAATGATTATTAATACTTTGTATAAGACAAAACTATAAATTTAATTAACTTAATATTTGCTTGAATAAGCTCTTTATAATAATTTGTTTTTTTTTATGATATTATTGTTAGGGATTCCGTGGGTCCACTAATTTAAACTCACGATAAAATACTTAACGGATTTATTTTTCTCACTATATACACGATTTCTACTTTAACTTTTTTTGTACCTTCGCCAATTAATCCACAATTCGCTATTCAAAAACTAACCGTATTTCAAAACTGAACTTCTGAGCGCGGTTGCGCTTATATACCTCCTAGCGGCTGCTTCTCGAACGTTCGAAAATTATCTGTAACGTTCTTTTTGGTTCCTGTAATTTCCACCGACTAGGAATTTTTTATTACAAAACTCGCTTTTCTACTTGGCGCGTTCCCCGAAGATGTCGCCACACATACACCTTGACAATATGATGTTATAACGGATTTCGTAGCGTCTTCAGTCTGCTTTTGTAACCACATTACCTTACCACTACTATAGTCTAGCCAGTGTGAGGGTCCAGCAATGACAGTTTTGTGTGTCATTTTAATTCACAGGTAAATTGTATTTTCTGCCATTTTTTGGATGTCGTCTGGCGCAAACTTTCCTCGAAATCCCTGACTTGTTGGACGAACTATACAAAGAAGACCAGGCTACTAGTAACATAGCAAGTTGCCGGACGAATTTACGTTTACCCGATTTGCGTTTGTACTCGAGATTCACTGCCGGCTAGTCGGCTGGTCAGGCAGTACGCAGTTGCAGTTGTGCTTGGACGGGTCGGTCGTGACAGACTAGGAATACGACGCGAGGAATGCCGAGTATTTATTATTTTCATTTTAAGTGTTTACCTTCACTTAAAATAATATTTAGAATAAAAATACATAAATATTTATTATTTGAGTGTGTTTACAATATTGCGGGCCACAGAATAGTTCCATTTCCACTAATTAAACGGTTGGGAAAAAAATTGTTCAAATATTTTTGAACAATACGGGCATTGTGGGCAGGGCAACCACCTCAGCAATTTGATTACTTG